AAAGAACACCTAAAGGTGAAAGAAATAATGACTGCCAATCCACAAGAAGTTGACATAATAGCACTAGAGATCTGCCATGAGGATGATAAACTAATGACCATAAATGCTTATAGTCCAGCGCCAAGCAGTACATGGTCAAAGGAGGAGCTAGATAGTAAACGTGAAGGTCTTATAACAATAATGAGAGAGATTATAGCAAGAGCGGATAACGATAGATCACGACTGTTGATAGTCAGTGACTTCAACTTGAAATCCATAGACTGGGAAGCATATGAAGCTAAAACAGGAGATTTTTGGACCTGTAGATTTGTAGACCTCATCCTGGAAACATTCTTGTATCAACATGTTAAACAAGCTACGAGGATGAGGGAAGGGGACGTTCCCTCCATGCTAGATTTGATATTTACCAGGATGGAGGAAGAGATATTTGACATTCAGTACCTTCCTCCCTTGGGTAAAAGTGACCATGTCTTTTTGGGAATAAAGTATGCAATGCATTATAATCTGGAAGAAAATAAGGAGGTTGAAGCAGTTGAAAAACCTGACTTCAGGAGAGGACATTATGGCCACCTTAGAAATTTTTTTTAGTGAGTATAATTGGACAGACTTGATGCTAGACAAGGAAGTGAATGAGATGTATGTCAAGTTTTGTGAAATATATGATAAAGGCACAAAAAAATTTATACCAAAACAGAGATGCAGAACTAGGAAACAGGATTGGTTCAATAGAATTGTGAGAGGGCCAGAGACCAAAAGACACAAAAATGGAATCAATACAGGAAGAGGCCAAACCCCCAAACATACCAGCGATACAAAGATGCGAGAAACAACTACACGGCAGTGAGGAGAGAGGCAGAAAGAAATTTTGAAAACGGATTGCAGACAAATGTAAAACAGAACCAGTTCTATTCTATAAATTCATAAACAACAAATTGCAGGTAAAGGATAATATTCAGAGGTTGAAAATGGGAAATAGATTCACGGAAAATGAAAATGAAATGTGTGAAACACTAAACAAAAAGTTCCAAAGTGTGCTTGTACAAAATGAAATCTTTAGGGAACCAGACACAATAAGAATTCCAAGGAACAACATAGAGCACATAGAGGTGTCTAGAGATGAAGTGGAAAAAATGCTCAAGGGGCTAAGTAAGAACAAAGCAGTTGGTCCACATGGAGTTTCACCATGGGTTCTGAGAGAATGTGCACCTGAGCTTAGCATTCCACTTCAACTGATTTTTCAGGCATCCCTGTGTACAGGAGTTGAAGCTGATGTGTGGAAAAAGGCTAACGTAATTCCAATCTACAAAAGTGGAAGCAGGGAAGACCCCCTTAATTATAGACCTGTATCATTAACTTGTAATAGTCAAAATATTGGAAAAAATAATTAAAAGTAAATGGATAGAACACCTGGAGGAAAACGATATAATATCAGACAGACAATATGGTTTTCGATCTGGAAGATCCTGTGTAATGAACTTACTCAGTTTTTATGATCGAGCCACAGATATTTTACAGGAAAGAGATGGTTGGGTTGACTGCATCTATCTGGACCTAAAAAAGGCTTTCGACAGAGTTCCCCATAAGAGGTTGTTCTGGAAACTGGAACATATTGGAGGAGTGACAGGTAAGCTTCTAACATGGATTAAAAATTTCCTAACTGACAGAAAAATGAGGGCCGTAATCAGAGACAAGGTATCGGATTGGAGGAATGTTATGAGTGGAGTACCATAGGGTTCAGTTCTTGCACCGGTAATGTTCATTGTCTACATAAATGATCTACCAGTGGGAATACAGAATTACATGAACATGTTTGCTGATAGTGCTAAGATAATAGGGAAGATAAGAAACCTAGATGATTGTCATGCCCTTCAAGAAGGCCTGGATAAAGTAAGTATATGGAGCAACACTTGGCAAATGGAATTTAATGTGAATAAATGCCATGTTATGGAATGTGGAATTGGAGAACATAGACTCCACACAACCTATAAATTATGTGAGAAATCTTTAAAGAATTCTGACAAAGAAAGGGATCTAGGGGTGGTTCTAGATAGAAAACTGTCCCCTGAGGACCACATTAAGAACATTGTGCGAGGAGCCTATGCTACACTTTCTAACTTCACAATTGCTCCATCCAAAACATGGATGGAGAATTACTAAAGAAATTGTTCACGACTTTTGTTAGACCAAAGCTGGAATATGCAGCAGTTGTGTGGTGCCCATATCTTAAGAAGCACATCAACAAACTGGAAAAGGTGCAACGACATGCCACTAAGTGGCTCCCAGAACTGAAGGACAAGAGCTACGAGGAGAGATTAGAGGCATTAAATATGCAAAAACTAGAAGATAGAAGAAAAAGAGGCAATATGATCACTACGTTCAAAATAGTAACAGGAATCGATAATATTGATAGGGAAGAATTCCTGAGACCCGGAACTTCAAGAACAAGAGGTCATAGATTTAAACTAACAAAACAAAGCTGCCGGAGAAATATATGAAAATTCACTTTTGTAAATAGAGTGGTAGACGGCTGGAACAAGTTAAGTGAGAAGATGGTGGAGGCCAAAACCGCCAGTAATTTCAAAGCATTATATGACAAAGAGTGCTGGGGAAACGGGACACCAGGAGCATAGCTCTCATCCTGTAACTACACTTAGGTAATTATACACTCAAGCCTACTGGAAGCCAGGACCAGAATCTAGCTGTATGAGGTAAGGTAATCTTGGAGATCAGAACTTAATCAAAATCCAAGAAATAAACCCTTAGAAATAAAAACAAAAGAAAACCCCCGCAAAGGTACACCGTCTCCAGAGGCAACAGGAACCGGTCGCCGCTTAGGTGGCAGGCCGCGCAACACCTTCACGCCCTAACCAGCACAATACCAATCCCTACCCAGGGCCAAACAAGGGCCCCAAGCCCAGGCTGGCTCCAAGGGCGAGGCAAATGCCGAGCAGCAAGAACCTCTACGGGAATGGTTCCCGAACGCCCCAGGGAAGATAACCCTGTTACGCAAGGGCAGTACTCACAGGGCGCTTAGGGAAGTCAGCCACTAAGCGCATGCAGCCCTGGCACTGATGAGGTACTCCTGGCCACCGCACAACACAACACATGGCAATGAATGCCACACAAGGCAAACACCGCCTAGGAAACTGAGGCCAGAGAAGCGTCTATCCCGGTTGACATTAGCTTCCGAACTGATGCTAGGCAGCCGGCGCGGTGAGGTCCGGGGCTTCTCCCTCCCCCTCTCGGGGGAGGGAGGGCTGTGCGGACGATCAGCGAGGCAGTAAAGTGTGATGTTTGCTTGTTTGATTATTTCCTTAGGATTGTAGGGAGTTTCTACCTCTCTGTTTGGTTTTTTGTTTGGTTTTTTTACCATGTGGAGTTTGTTTTGTTATACCTACCTTTCTGGGTCCCTAACCCCGGTCGATGGCAGATAAGGAAAACCCCAACCACAAGAGTGTTTTCTAGGGCCATTGCTCCCTGAAACCTCTCTGAAGGGGCCAGGTTCTGACGCTGGTCCCTGCTAGGTCTGAACTCCTTAGCTAATGTCCCGGTCTAATATAACATACATTAGCCCGATAAGCTCCAGGGAGCCGTAGGGGCTCCCCACATAGCATGCATTTTGAAATGACTGTTGTAATAATTTAATGTAATGGCTGCTGGCTGTTAATGACTGTTGTAATAATTTTGTAATGGCATGGGCATGAATAGCCCATGAATAAGCTGAATGATACAGGTACAGCCTCATTTACATTCCTAAATGACCTTCCACCTGACCGGGTTTGAATAAATGGTTATTTCCACAAACTAAAGATATACAGTACACACTAAATCCAACTTAATACTTTACATATAAATAATTTAGCCACACCTAACAAGGATGTGCTAAAGATATCAAATGTGGACTAAGCTCTGGTACCAATTCCACAAAAACATGCATTTTGTAATGACTGGTCCAGCTTTTGTTGTTATCAATGTAAATGTTTCTCTTAGTTAAAATACCAGTTTGTTTTATTTGTGTAAATTTTTATGTTTCATTTGTGTTTGAGAGTATGTCTTAGTAAATGTGTATAATTCTGTGTATAAAGTTTTCCCTTCAAATTTTTGTGAGAGTAGTGTCCCTGCACACCATAATAATAGAGAGATCAGAGACCCCCGACTCAGGTTGTGTGGTGTGAGCTCGTGAGGTTATTGACCTCCATTATAGCTGTGACTGGAATACTGTTGTAAATCTGGTGAGGGAGAAATTATTCCTTTTTAGTGTATTGTCCCATTTCCAGTGTTTTAATAAATATAACGGCACACACACACATTGATTGTTTGTCGAGTCCTGCCAATCCAAAAATATGGTACTGGCCCCACGTGGTTACTCTAGTGTTTGAAGTATTTATAAATACCTATTGGCTCTACATCCCTGTTTTAAAGTAACATATCTATACTATAAGGAAGGAAGTAAGAACGGGTTACGTTAGTCTATACTGTACTCTAGAGTATGGCTTACAAGCTTGTGTCCTTACACGGCAGCTTGGGGATCCGCGAACTTTAGTTTCCGGTAAGCCTACGCAAACCTCACCCGCTCGTGCCATTAGCTACCATTATTATCTTTTTATACTGTACTTGTAATTTACTAGCCATTGAGTGTATGAGCCATTTTAAAATAATTATAACAACTAGAATAGTTGCTATTCCCTCGTTCACTTTACAGTATTTCCTTAACTGAATTTGTGGGAGTTGTTACTACTTAATTTTCACAAAATGTAAATTTGGCAGTGTTAATTCTGGTGCAATTATTTTTGTTTTGGGGACGTTGACGAGTCATTGCATTATTATCATTTATTTACACATATGCAGGGGTCATGTACTACGGGATAATATGAAACACTTCTTCTGGAGAAGAACCAGGTACTGAAAATGTGAAGCCTATAAACAACTACAAGTGAGGTTATTTAATGTTAGCTCACATTTACCCAATTTACTTGTACATTATAAATTAAAGTTCTCACTTCAGTTAGCGTTGCTCCAAGTGATGTTAGAAACCATTCTAACACATCATTCTGGACACCATGGTTTCCTAGGACAGTGCCCCGAGGTGAAAAAGAAAAGCGAACTTTCAGCCCAGCCACACAGACACGTTCCACATGAGGACCTTCATCAGCTGTTTGCAGGTTCTGCCAAATAAAATTTCAAGAGCAGTCATAACAGTGAAAAAAATTACATGTTTTGTCAATAATATTTCTTCTTTATTTCTTGTATATACATTGATCCTTTATATTCATTGTCTATCAGTAAAGTAGACCACATAAATAATTTTGTAGTGTAATTGCATTTTCTGAGCAATTCCAATTTCATGTTTCATAAGGGGAAGCTACATAAAACCGAGTTAATCATGACAATCAGAACAGGGTGGCATTTTGCACTAGCACAGCAGGGATCTATTCAAGCATTCGTATCTAGTCATAATGGTGTTAGAGAGATAAGTAAAAAAAAAAGCATTGAATGTAATGAAACACCATTTTCTGGGTGAGTCCTGGAGGCTACCCATTGCTATCCAGGCTGATATGATTATCCCTAAATTTGGCACCAGTCAACGTGGGTGGAGTTCTAGGCATGCCGGGGACCACAAGCCAGAACCTAGCCCCTCAGAGAGGCATGAGGAGCAATGGCCTATAGAAATGCACATGTGATTTTCGAGCATTCTATATCTGCCATCGACCGGAACAGGCACCCAGCAAGGTAAGAGCTCCAAAACAAACCCCTATTCCAGTTAAAAACGATAAAAATAGACAAACGAGTGGACAGAACTCCCCAAATGAAAATGAGCAAACAAGCACGATGTCACACGAGCAGCGCCGCATATCTGCGCAGCTCCCCCTCCCCAGGAGGGGGAAGGGGGGAGCCACAGACCCCACGCTGGCAATCCACACCCCAGTTCTGAGGCTAGATGTCAAAAATGAGAAACCCACCGACCGGATGAAGGGAGGGTTGTCGGGGAGCCTCCGGGACTCGCCCAGAAAATAGCGTTTTATTACATTCAAAGCTGGTTTTCTGGGGGAGCGCCTTCGGCTCCCAGGAGCTACTTCACCAAAGACGAAAAGGAAAGAAAGGGGACTTATCCAGGTGGCGGTCAGTGCTCACATCTCAATGTGAAGTTGAGACGTGAGCACTGACGTCTCAACATCTCAATGTGAAGTTGAGATAACTGGCTGCAACCGCCGACCCAAAGCGACACAGGCCCGACTAGGCCCAGGAATGTTAACGAGGTAGCGTGCTGCTAGGAGCCTGTTTGACAGCCAAAAACTCTGTGCCCGAATGTCAGCCCAGGACGTATTACTAAAGACGGCAGCAAGAGCAGCAAACTTACGAACGTCATGGGCACGGGGATAGACCACAGGCTGGCTATACTTAATAACCCTGCGGATGACCTGAGAGACTCGTATCCACGAACAGGGAAGAAGGGAAACTGGATCAACCCAAAGCGCATCCCCGGACACAGAAGCAGTGGCGCGTAAATAACGGCAGAGGGCCACAACCGGACACAACACACGATGCACCCCCGGCCTGACCAACCAAGCATCAATAACCCAAGGACCCCTCCAGAAAGCAGCAGTTTCATTCTTCACCAGAAAAGAAGACGGCTGCAGATGAACAAACCTATCACCACAACTAAAAGAGCAGAAACCCCTGCGCCAGAGAAAAGCATGAAGCTTCGTAACCGGACCCCCAGAGGTCAATGCCAACAGGAAAAGAGCCTTAGAGAAACAATCTTGAACTGAAGGGGCCACAACAAACCGAGGAGAAGAGATATAGGAGAGTACTTTGTCCAAAGACCAGGATGGCTCAGGTGGAACTCAATTTTGAGCAGGCTGGAGGTGAAACAAGGCATGAGACAGTTTGCGAAACCTCACAGAAGTAACATCTATACCGAAAGCAAGCTGAAGAAGCTCTGCCAGCACCGCACGATACGAGGTGACAGTATTCGGCATAAGATGACAGTCCTGGACAACCACAAGAGTAAGAACAACACCACCCTAACTAAAAGCGAAGTACAACGACGAAGAGTTAAAAAGAAATGGAAGGACCGCCGGGAAACTTTATACTGCCGCCGAGACGAAGCCCGCAGGTGGGACACCATCAATGAAGTCACCTGATCACCATACAGATGGCGATAAACTCGAGTAAAAAATACCAAACGTGAAAACTCGAGGAGAAGAGCGAACCAGTCTTGTAACGGACCGAGCCAATCTTCTGAAAGAGGTGGAGCCGCGGAAAAACCACAGGGTTCAGACACCGGGCAAGCAGCGCCTAAAACCCAGGCTGGGCTGGCCACCATGGGGCCAAGAGGACTACTCGCCCATGGTAAGTCTCCAAGCAGGCCAGGACCTGGAGCAACAGCTGAACTGGGGGAAAGAGGTACAGGAACCCCCACCTCGACCAGTCCTACCGGAAGGCGTTGATCCCGACAGCCTCTTGGTTGGGGATGGGCACTACATATACCGTGACCACTCCGACGCAAAGAGGTCCACCCCCGGGCGCCCGAACATCTGACAGAGCAAACGGAATAAGTCAGCATCGACCGTCCATTCCGTGGACAGGGGGAACGAACCGGCACAGGCTGTCCACCAGGACATTGGACACCCCCCTAGAAGTGAACCGCCAGGAGAGCCGAGAGACGACGCATCTGTGAACACATCAAGCAAGGGCTCGGGTAGGCGCCAAGGCACTGAACCCCCCAAAAAACGAAAAGGAAGCTGGCGATACCGCAGCCGAAGGAGAGACTCCAGAGGGAGAGACAAGGAAGCGGCTAGAGTGTCTCACACAAGACCAAGTCAAGGCAGAACCTGAGAGGGAACCAGATGAACCAATTTCACCAAGTACCTGAACCTGGCGAGCTGGGAAAGAATCAAATCCTGGCAAGCAGACATGTGGAATGGCTAGGAGCCCAAACCAGCCAGTCGTCGAAGTAGGCCAGAACCCAAACATCAAACAGACCCAGGAGGGCCACCAGGACCCGAGTAAGGCATGTGAAAATGCGAGGGGCCAGATTCAAGCCGATGGGAAGGCAACAAAAGTGGTAACCTTGATGCCCCACAACAAAACCGAGCCAGTCCCCAGAACCTCAGATGAACTGGTACATGCCAATACGCTTCCTTGAGGTCCATCCAAACGCCCGGCTCCAACAGAAGACGGACCTGGGACAGAGTAGCCATCCGAAAGGAGGGGCAATAAACCCATGGGTTCAGATGGGACAAGTCCAGAACGAACCGGAGGTCTACACAATCCCGTTTCAGGGCCAGAAACAGACAGGAAACCCACCTGAGGGTCGAGGTCGTTTCGACCACACCCAAGCAAACCCACTCTGAGACGATTCGACAGAGCACAAGAGTCAGCCCCTGTCACGGGCTGCTTCCACCCCTAGGAAGCAGCCCATGACAGCTGACTAACTCCCAGGTACCTATTTACTACTAGGTAACAGGAGCATCAGGGTGAAAGAAACTCTGCCCATCATTTCTCGCCGGCGCCTGGGATCGAACCCGAGACCACAGGATCAGTGTCCAGCGTGCTGTCCGCTTTGCCGGCCAGCCCCGGCCACACGAAAAGAACCTGAAAGGCCCACGAATTGTGGGACCAGGTGCGAGCAAACAGAGCGAGCCTACCCCCATCGCCTTGTCAATGGGACGAACCGCGACAGGGCTGACGTACCTTATGAGAACCAAAATGGCACACAGGGCGATCCCCGCCCCAACCAGAAAAAGATAGAACCGGAGGCTGCACCTGCCCTGAATCTAGCATCACTGTCCTACCACGACGGAAGGAATCCCGAGGCCAGGCACGACCCTTTTGGGAAGATCCCCCTCCCCCTCCCCCTCATGAGCCCCCCAGAGATCCAACAAGTCGGGCATAGGATGGCAATTAACCGAAGCCGCCTGCAAATACTGCACCACCGCAGACTCTGTAAACAGCAATGAACAAAAAGGCGAAGACAACCGTAGTGCCAGGGCCCAAGCGGATTCCACAGAAGAGGCAAGCATCGTCTGCCGACATGCGAGTTGAGAAGCAAAAAAAAAAACGACGCCGCATCCCACAGGAGCCGCGTGAACAGTTTCAACAATGCAGACGATGCCCGCACTGCAGAGGGCAGTGCACCAGACCCAGAGGTGGCCCCAAGCCCCCTCCACATCCAACTCAAGCCAATCCGAGGACAGCTCAAGGAGGGAAAAGAAATGCATGGCTGAAACCAGCCAGCAGAGATGTATGCAAATCCTCCGCAACCAAGGCGGCCAAAAGGGAAGGAATCTGCACATGAAGCTGCATCACACCAACATCCCGTGGAAGGGGACTCCCCTAAAACCGCCCGAGTCACAACACCAACTAGACCCTGCCCCGACTCCGAAACCCTCAGATGTTTCAGAGCTGGAAGCAAGGTGGGGGGATGGGGGGAATGAGGGAAGGAACAGAAGGCGAAGGACAAGGAGGGGCGGACGGAACCAAAGTTGACGCGACTCCCACCCCCAAGTCCGGGTCCCTATAACCAAAACGGGGCAGTCTCGGGGCATCCGGGGAAGCAACCAACCGAGCTCGTTACAACAACCAGAACCTAGCATGTAATGCAGCAGCCACCTGCACCCTCATATCAAGAACAGTAGCTTGGGTGAACTGGAGCATGTACAAGTAACAAACGTCACACGACTCCGGGTCAAAGAATCCCCGACCCAACAGGCAGCATGGCGGAGGCACAACCGGTGAGTGTCACCCCTGAGACAATGGGACAGAACAACCTTCAAGGTCACACAGAGGGGACTCAAGTGTCACATGCATCGGACCACATAACCCCCATGGGGTTTTCCAGGGTCCTTAGCCTTGGTTACACGCTAAGGGAAGCCCAGGCAGAGTTCTGTGAACTGGCGCCCAAGTCTACCAAACGAACTGCTAAAAGCTGAACCCCCAGGATGTGTCCACTCATGGGGGCCTAGTGGGGAATACCACCAAACTCAGAATTATACAGATATACCCCAACAACAGCTAGGGGGAAGAACGAAGGCAGAAACAAAAACCAAAGAAAACCCCCCACAAGAGGACAACGTACCCAGGTGGAACAGTGCCGGGCGCTATAAGTGGTGATAACTAGCTTAGCAGTACCCCACTCCCCTACTAGTAATGAAAACTACCTCCTACCCAGAGACAAACAAATGCAATAAAACCCCAGCTGACCCCAAGGGCGGCCAAGTACCGAGCAGTAAAAGGCACAGCACAGGTAGATCCCAAGGTGACTTGTGGAAGGAGGCCTCCACAAGGGCAGTACAGTACTTACCAGGCACCTAGGGAAGGGAACCCTAGGCACATGAAGCCTGAGTACCTTGGAATATTACTCCTGGTTCACACATCACCTGTAGAAACAGCTCATGTCACAAGACACATAACTGAGACAAAAGCAGGGGCCAGAGGCACAAGACTTCTCCAGTATCGCATCAGCCAAGAACTGGTGCTTGGATCACCAGCGCAAGGGTCTGGGGTTCCCCCTTTCCCCACCCGGGGAGGGGGATGGTTGTGCATACTGTAGTGCGGCAATATGATGACATCATGCTCATTTGCTAATTTTTGTTGGGGAGTTCTGTCCACTCGTTCGGCTTTCAGTAGCAATATTTTCACCAGAATAGGGGTTTGTTTTGGGCTGACTATATTTCTGGGTGCCAGACCTGGTCAATGGCTGACATAGAATGCTTGTCTGCCATTGAGACAAGGCAGCCACATGGGGATTTCTATAAACCATTGCTCCTCGTGCCTCTCTGAGGGGGCCAGGTTCTGGCTTGTGGTTTCCTGGTAGGCAAGAACTCCATGCATATTGACTAATGCCAGAAAGCTAAAATATATCCATATCAGTTTGGATAGCTCTGGGGAGCCGACGGGGCTCCCCCCCAGAAATATAATTTGTTAAATAATGTCTTATTTGAGTCTCAGCAGAATATCACCTTCACATTTAGATAAGTAATATACAGACAGTATAAATAAGTTTGGCTGTAAACATGGCTGCATCCAATGGGCTGGCTCACCCATGACTTAAGAGAATAATCCTCTTCAGAAACGATTAGTTGTTTGAGCTACTGAAGGATTTGCAGCAAACATAAATTGTTGAGCTCATACAGGAATTTGATAGAGTGATAGTATCTATGACACTCTCAGCTTCCATGCCTCAGTATAGGTGAATACAGCTACAGTACTCACAACTAGGTGAGTACAGTGATGGGGGGAGGGCAAGATTCTGGTCCTTGCCCATGGTAGGCCATGAGAAAGTTTGACCCTTGGTGAAATGCTATTTGCCCTGGAATACCAGTGCATATGCTTTGGAGAGTCACTGTGGAGCCACCCAAGAAATGAGGCTTCAGGAAAAATGGTGAGTGCTATTCCGAGCACAAAATTTTGAATCTTCTGCTACCCCCTCAATCTCTTGCATACTGAATGTTTAGTAATTACCTAAGTGTAATTACCTAAGTGTAGTTACAGGATGAGAGCTACGCTTGTGGTGTCCCATCTTCCCAGCACTCTTTGTCATATAATGCTTTGAAATTACAGACGGTTCTGACCTGTCAGTCAGAATGTGTGATTGGGCTATAGACAAGAGAATGAGTTCTGCCATTTGGAGGGGGTTGAATGTAGCAGCCAGGGGGGAGGGGGGGGGTCACACTGGCCATTTGCAAGATCATTACTCCTTGTGATGGTAAGTAGGCTTGGAAAATATTTTGAGTGTTTTTAATTTACCCTAGGCTGAAAAGATCCATGTTGCATCAGTGCAGAATATCACCTTGACCAGACAATCATGATCCACTCCTTTAGGAGCAGAATGGATCTTGCCTTAGGGGAGCAGGATAGATCTTGTCTTAGGGAGCATATGATGGTCCTACACATTAAGAAGCTTTCCATATTCACTAAAAAGTGATTTTTATTTCCACCAAACAGCCAGCATAACTAATATGAGGGGGTACCCTCTTTTACATTATGACTTTTTGCATTTACAGTGATTGTATCAATTTCATAATATAATAATTTCTATTAACACATACCTTCATAGCCGAGAAGGTTATTGGCGTCTTCAGTTTTTTCAGCTCTGTGTGAATGCTTCTGGAGTGAAGACTTGGCAGTAAGGGTTCCAGTACGTCATACACAGACAGTAAAAATCCCTTGTCAAGCTTTAAGAAAAACTCTTGTGCTACTAGGCTAAGGTGCCTGAAATCACATTAAATTATAAATTAATATTCCATAAGCAATGGCCTATGAACACTTTACATTTAAAGTACAGTATATTATACTTACCCATGATATGTAAGTTAGTAGCATAGGATATTTGAGGCCAAAAATTCTTCTATGGATTTAACTGTGAAGGGTTGTTTAGAGGAGACGATGCAAATGAAATGTAAGAAAATTGTTCCCAAATTTATAATGAAGGCCCCCAAAATATTAATCCAAAACTGGGCAGTGCAACTGGAAAACAAGACTTGTTCAATAGAAACTGCCAGAAGATCAGAAAACACAAAAGAAAAAATGGAGCCAAAATAAGATTAACCCATAAACATATGAGAAATACAAACAATCCCCAAACAAATAAGTGGTTGTGAGAAGGAAAAGTGAGAAATATTCAGAAAGGGATAGCAGAGGAATGCAAAATGGAACCCAGCATATTTTATAAATTCATTAAAACCATACAGTACATGTACTAAATTAAATCTAGAGATTAAAATTGGGCAAAAGATTTGCTCAAAACGGAAACAAAAATGGAAGTCGCCCAGACAAATGGAAATGTGCCAGACCCTAAATAGACAATTTCAAAGTGTGTTCGTACAAAACAAAGTACACGCATATTCATCATCAAATCTAAAATTCAAAAGTTAAAATAAGCAGCAAGACAAAAGACTCATACTTGACAAAATTACATATTAAAAGAATTGTATTTGCAGAGTATGTGCATGCCTCTATTGAAGATGTAATAAAACTACTTAGAGATTTAGGCACATCCCATCACAATGTATGTCGGAAGTAGCTTGTAATATTAAATGGAATGTAATTTTTGCTAATGATAATAACTCTTGTATAAAATTTGTGTGGATCCCATCCCATGTTGGAGTTGGAAAACATGACTTTGTAGATCGATTGGCCAATGAGGCTTGCAGGAAAGAAAACATTGATTATGACTTTGGACTATCTAATGCAGTTATTAGAAACATACAAATTAAAGAAATTAATTCAGATTTAGAAGAACTAAGAAATGCCCAGAGACCTGAAAGCTGCAGTATTAAAAGTTATGACAAGTTTTGTAATAATAGGTATTTGTATGGTCAGCACAGTAACCGAACCAGGCAATGTGATGTAGTCATTGCGCGAATTCGCCTTGGCTATAGACACATCTGGCAGGTTGGTGAGGCTGAGCCACTACCAGAATACTCAGATTGTAAACTCTGTGATAAATCTTTAATGCATTCACTAGAACACTATATAAATGAATGTGAAACCGTAAAGGACTTTAGACCTCCTGGCCTCTTGTACCACCAACTGTGTAACTATTTTATTGACTCAGGTGTTCTGGACGACATCCTAACAATTTACCCAAAATTTGCTTGTCCATTTTAAAGAATGAAGAACAATTTTTTTTTTTATATTACTTCTAAGCTGCATCACTTATGAACCCATCCCTACCCTTGTGTGGCAGTGCACAGCAGAAAGTTGTTTTCACATATCCATACATTAAAACATTGATTGTAACCATGATATATATGTGCTTCAGCCTACAGTTTAGACCTATTGTCTTATGTATGACCCTCTGTCCTGTGTGACAGTGAATACCAGCATTATCCTCACTTTAATAAGACTATCAAAATCCTCAGATTAGGCAAAATTGTAATTAATTTTGTCAATAAAGATGTTAATAATAATGATAAGAGATTTAGGCAGAAACAGAGCAATGGGGCCAGATTGAATTTCACTTTGGGCATTGCGAGAATGTTCTCAGGAGCTTTGCAATCCACTGAATAACATTCTCTAGAAATTACATAATAACATAAAGATAACCTTTCAGTTTGAAAACAGTGTTATCTGTAACAAATTTACACTTCTTTAAAGTTGCGGATGAAACAGGCTTTGACAACTTCTTCCTTTGATGCATTTCATCTGCTGACTACCTGAACAGGGTACAAGAATTTCTTTACATCTATCTCTACAATTCAAGTGTGTGTCCAGCTTTCACCATTGTCCTCCTTGCCCTACCTCCTTTCAATTTAAATATTCTGCCCATGTCCACGTTGTCTGTTGTTCGCAATATCTTCTATGCTGTAATCATACCCCTTCGTTTCTTTTCTTCTCTAAGGTTATGAGGTTGAATTCCGTTAACCAGTTCTCACAGTAGAACCCACTCAATTTTAGTTGAAAAGCTCTGCACTTTCTCCAGTTCCCTTCTGTGCTTCAAATGGTGTGGGTTCCATGCTGGTGCTGTATATTCCAGCAATGATCTCTCACAGGCAGTTTAAATGGACCTGAAAGCCTCCTTATTTAAAATTTCAAATGTTGTTCTTTTGTTTGTCAATTTCCTATATCCTGTTGACATGACAACAACTACGTTGTCCTGTTGACATGAGTTTCTGGTGTTAATGTTCTGATTATGTCCATTTCCAGGTCTTTTACACTTAATGTTTCTTGTAGTTGCCTTCACTTTATGATGTAGTTACCAACAGGTTTTCTTATTTCCTTTTCACATCTTTACCTTATATTTTACTTGGATTGAATTCCAGCCGCTCTTTACTTGAATACTAAAGAAGTTTCCCAAGAGACTCCTTAACTTAGTTAAGTCTCAAAGTTATGCCTGCTCGTCTCTCCATCTTGTGTATTAGTCATTTATGAAGAACTTTATCAAAAACTTTCTGGCAGTCCATGAAGGTGCAGCCTACACATCCTTCTTTTTCTTACCCTATTTTGGTGACCCTGTCACATAATTAATTCTAGTTTCTTAAACATGAATTTCCCTGATTCTGTGCTGTGCCTCCATTACAAAATTTACTCTCTCAAATGTTCTATAATTGTTTTCTCTGATGGCTTTTACCAATATTTTGCATGGGAGGCATGTTGGTGACACTGGTCTATAGTTTCATGTCTGCCCCCCTTCTTGAATATTGGAACTACATTTGTGTTTTTCCAGATTTCTGGTAGCTCTCTTGTTCTAGTGTTAAGCTGAAAGCTGTGATTAATGGGTAACAGAATCCTTGGAGTGTCCTTCAGTAAACCTGGTAATATCTGGTCTGATCCCGTTGCCTTCCTTACATCCAGTTCCTCCAGGTGTCTTGTTACCTGTAACTGGTAAACTGTTGTCACTACTCCTTGAACACCAATCCAGTTTTGGTTTGTTGAATTTTTTTATACTATTTCTCTATATACCCAGAGTACATAAAGATGGCTAATACGTATTACTGTACATTCTCCCAGTACATGAAGATGATTGCAATAACTATTGATGTATATACTCTCAGTACATTTAGGTGAATACAATATCTATTGCTGGATATACTTCCAGTATACGAAGAAGACTAAGACCTACTCATTACTAACGCACTGATGTTCAGCTTTACTGGTTATATAATCAAATCAAGTCAAATCAAATCAAATCAAATCAAATCAAATATTTATTCAGGTAAAAATACATACATAGATGAGTTACAAACATAATGTTGGATTTATAGACTGAGCTAGTACATACAGTACCTAAAGCCACTAATATGCAGAGTGTTTCGGGCAATACTGTAGTCATTCTCACCACACAATGTAAAAGACCAGAGCAGAGATTAAAAACAGGTAAAATATCTTGAATCATAAACAACATGTGAAGCTTGTTAACTTACTTGATGGTTGTAAGTTGTCCCTGAGCACAGTGAAGGAGCACACACGCTGACAAACATGGATGGATGATCCCATTTTCATTGGAGGGGTAAAGGACCGTGGGGAATACTGCATCCATGAGTTGGTTATCAACCTTCAATATACATAAAATACATAAGCTGTATTAATAAAAAGATGTTGTTAATCAAATAAGATTATATTTAAAATATCATAATAAGTACAGTATTGAATACTGTAATACAATGCAATGTGAACAAGTGACTATACTATTTTCATCAAAATTCATGTTTTAATGAATTATTTTGAATATAGACCTTAATATTACTGGAAATTTATAATCCATCACTGTCCCCCAATTATCTCAGACTTTTAGTTACCAAAGAAAATATTTCATTCTTTGCTGTATCCATTGTCTCACAAATTTTGTCCTGTTATAAAAATAACTCACCTCAATCATATACACAGTATTATTTAATGAGTTTTTCAATCCTAATGCTATACAATACTGTCTTAGAATATGAGACATGGGTAATTACTTAACCTGCAAATGTTGTTAAGTGTTTATTCAAAGTTTCCAGGCAGATTATACATACCTGTAATATTCATAATTTTGACACTGGATACTAAGAGAAGCAAAAATTGTTGTCTGAACTGTATTATATAAATATACTGTATCTGGTTGTCTCTTGTTACGACTGCTGTCTAATAACAGTCTTTTTCGGCCTCAAGAGTCCTTTTTACCCACCTAGAAAGATTGTATACGGCCCAAGCTGTAATTTAAGTTAAGAAGGAATGAGTCTTAAACACAATCTTGCATGATATTTGGCTGTAAAGGGTTAAGTATGGCAGATTATGAAATAAAATGGCGCCCGCGTGGGGGGTGACACATCTGGGAACTGCTAGAGTGCAGCGACACATGCCTAAAGCTTACACAATGTGAGAGGTGACTGGTAGTGGCTCAGGTGCTCAGCCAATCATTATTGAGTTTTCTGTGACATTATCAGCAGGCACTGAGCCTGCCCCAGGAAGCAGAGCCCGGCTCATTGTTCGGCTAGACTTTGGACGGGGAGGTTGTGACCTTGGGCGCTCCTGCAAAAATCATCAGATTTGGATCTTAAGTGGCAAGTTGAGCCCAGAAGAGAGGCAACAGGACTCCGACCATATTAAGGTGCCACGTGGACCTTTCTGGAATAAGGTTGAACGAGTATTGTCGACAAAGGAACTTGCTGAGAGTGGAAGAAACTCTCTTCCACTCTCAGGAAGAAAAGAGTGGAAGACCAGTGCTCACCAGGCCAGCCTGGGGTGGTGGAGTCCGTCCTTCTGTCGGGCTTACAGCATGGTCCGGGAGTTAGTTGCAGTGTGGATGTCGCTCCGGAAGGTTCGAGTCGCTTGCGGATCAACGATCCGGCTCCATTCGGACTGCTCCCCAATGGTTCACTGCCTGAACCGAGGGGGGGGGGGGGTTCGATGCGGCCCTTGGCTCTTTGGGGCTGGTCACTTCGGGTGTTTCATCTGCTGAGTTCTCGGGGTTTGGCTCTCCTGGCGGTTCATGTCCGAGGGGTGTCCAACGTCTTGGCGGATGGCCTGTCTAGTTTCCTTCCCCCATTCCCCGGAATGGACAGTCGACGCCGACTCCTTCAGTTGGCTGTGCCAGATGTTCGGGACTCAGGACGTGGATCTCTTCGCGTTGGCGTGATTGAGGCGTCTCCCAGTATATATGGCGCCTTTCCCCGACTGCGAGGCCGTTGGGGTTGATACCTTCAGGCAGGACTGGGCGAGGTGAGGTTACCTATACCTCTTTCCCCCAGTTCAATTGTTGCTCCAGGTCCTGGCTCACTTGGAGACTTACCAGGGAAGAGTTGTCCTTCTGGCTCCTTCCTTGGTGGCTGGCCCAGGCTTGGTTTCAGGCGCTGCTTGCTTGGTGTCCGAACCTGCAGCTCCGCCTCTTTCAGCGGATCAGTCCAGCCCGGTACAAGGCTGGTTCGACCTTCTTGTCGAATCTTCGCGTCTGGAGTTTCTGACTCGGGTTTATCATCTCTTATATGGTGCGCAGGTGGCATCGTTGTTGGTCTCCCACCTGCATGCTTCGTCTCAGCAGCAGTATGAAGTTTCCTGGCGGTCCTTCCAGTTCTTCCTATCACTGCGTAAGTGTTCTTCGGTCTCTGATAGGGTTGTTAAGTCCTTTCTCTCTTGGTTGTTCCAGGACCGTCATCTTATGCCCAATACTGTCGCCTCGTATTGTGCGGTGCTGGCAGAGCCGCTTCAACTTGCTTTCGGTGTTGATGTTACTTCTGCTCCGTTTCGCAAGTTGTCTTGTGCATTGTTTCACCTCCGGCCTGCTCATGTCCGAATCGTCCTGGTTCTTGGACCGGGTGCTCTCGTTTCTCTCTTCTCCTCGGTTTATTGTGACCCCTTCCGTTCGAGATTGTTTTTATAAAGCTCTTTTCCTGTTGGCTTTGGCTTCTGGGGGTCGGGTATGGGAGCTTCATGCTCTCCTCTGGCGCAGGGGTTTCTGCTTCTTCCAAACGACCACCAGGACCACCGTCCTGGTAGTCGTTTTGTTCGGTTGCAGCCGTCTCTTCCTTTTCTGGCGAAGAATAAAACGGCTGCATTTTGGAGGGGGCCTTGGGGTGTTGATGCTTGGTTGATCAGGCCAGGGGTGTTGTACTCTTCAAATCACTTGTGTTGTCCCGTCTTGAGTACTGCTCAATACTCACTTCCCCCTTCAGAGCAGGAGAGATTGCTGAAATTGAGGGAATACAGAGAACATATACGGCACGCATAGACGAGATAAAGCACCTAAATTATTGGGATCGTCTCAAAGCTCTCCAAATGTACTCACTAGAAAGGAGACGAGAGAGATACCAAATAATATACACATGGAAAATACTGGAGGGACAGGTCCCAAATCTGCACAGTAAAATAACAACGTACTGGAGTGAACGACATGGAAGAAAATGCAGAATAGAACCAGTGAAGAGCAGAGGTGCCATGGGCACAATCAGAGAACACTGTATGAAAATCAGAGGTCCACGGTTGTTCAACGTCCTACCAGCGAGCATCAGAAATATTACAGGAACAACCGTGGACATCTTCAAGAGGAAATTAGATTGCTTCCTTCAAGGAGTGCCGGACTAACCGAGCTGTGGTGGGTATGTGGGCCTGTGGGTCGCTCCAAGCAACAGCCTGGTGGACCAAACTCTCACAAGTCTGGCCTCGGGCCGGGCTTGGGGAGTAGAAGAACTCCCAGAACCCCATAATCCAGGTAACCAGGTAAACCAGGTATCATGTGTTGTGTCTGGTTGTGGCCCTCCGCCGTTATTTGGGCGCCACAGCTTCGGGGGCCGGGGATGCGCTGTGGGTTGACCTGGTTTTCCTTCTTCCCTGTTCCCGGGCTCAGTTCTCTCAGGTTGTCCGCAGGATTATTAGGGCTAGACAGCCTGTTATTTATCCCCATGCTTACAATGTACGTAAGTTTGTGGCTTTGGTTGCCGTTTTTGGCAACATGTCTTGGGATGACATTTGGGCGCGGAGGTTTTGGAGGTCCTGGCTGCTTGCTACCTAGTAAATGTTCATAATGTTCCATGGAACTGTGATACATGTGTCAGTAATGTGTCCACAATAAATGTTTATTGTCGCAATATTACTTGTTAAAAATTCACTAAAATTACAATATGTACAGTTTCACACTATTTACACAGTAACACACTGTATTACACACTCAGTACTTTGGAAGTGAGTAATAATCTACAAAGTACTCCATGATACACAGCACTACTTCGCTCTCATTGCACCAGGTACAGATAGATTTTCGCTTCCTGTTTATTTGTTCTGTATGCTTGCAAATAACGCACTCACATACACCCTTGGCTTTAGTACCTGTAGGTAGTATGTAGCCAAGCTTGTAAAGCGTAAGGAAGTCTTGAAAAGATTATAGGAAAAGATCAGAGTGTAAGGTAGTCATGAAAAAATCACTTTGTAAGGTCCCACGCAGGAAGAGACTCAGCCAGCCTCGAAGTGTCCATCAGTCAAGAAGAGATTCAGCTACTCTTGAAAATATCTATGGAAAGCACCATCATGGAAGTCGCTAACACTGTTCATATATGCTACTTGTATCAGATGCATCATTACTGAACGCAGAAAACGATTCATCTATGTATCATCTATATAAAGTGGAGATAGCATAGGTGGGCAAGGGTGGTGCTCAGAGCTACAACTGGATATGCTTGCTGTATCGTCCTCATAGGTGCTGTATTACTTGCATCCGACCTTTGTGTTAGGTCCTTATTGCGCCTAGCTTCGCCAATATTATGACCCTTATGTTCTTCAAACAATAAGGTTTGAATTTCACCGACAGAGCACGATCTTTCAACACCGCATCGGACAGGTGTTTGGGAGCCAGAGGCATGTGCGCCACCCATGGTTGGTCACTCAATACTAACCCAGCCAGCAGCCTTAGGGCATTCTGCGAATTTTTTCCAAGATGGCTGCCTCTCACTGGAGGTCCTAAGAGTCCATTTTGAACACAACCAACCGCGCACACATTTAGAATGGGTACGAAAAAATAAAAAAGAGTTTTCTCGGTTGGTGCAATTTCCCACCAACCGAGAATACTCGGTTGGTGGGAAACCCCAAGAAAAAGCCGAGGCAGCTGGAAGGGAGCCCACTGGCAGACTCATACAACACAGCTGAAGGAACAGGCTCGAATGCCTCCGTCGCTACCCAGGAAGGGAAAACCCCGAGACCGCCCGAGTCTCAAGACCATCGAATCCCTGCCCCGACCCCGAACCCACAGACAGTGAGGATCAGGATGCAGGGAGGAGGGGGAGAGGGACCAGACTAGACCACAATAGAGGAAAGACAAGGGGGCACGAACGGAAATAAAACCGAAGCAACCAACACCCCCAAGCCCCGGCACAACAACCAAAACGAGGCAGCCTCGGGGTTTCCGGGGAGCAAACAACCTAGCGCGTTGCAACCACCTGAACCCAACGTGTAATGCCCGTGCTGCCTGCACCCATATAGTCAGCATTAAACTGGGTAACTGAGTCACAAACAAGCATCAAAACTTGCAGGACTCCGGGTCGAAGGTGCCACCAACCCAACAGGCAGCAGACGGAAGCAAAAACAGTGAGAGTCACCCTGAGACAAGGGGACAAAACAACCCTCAAACTCGCACAAAGCGGGGGGACTCAGGGGTCACATCCATTGGACCCACATGCCCCCATGGGAATTCCCAGGATCCTGAGATGGAACTCACGCTCAGGGAAGCCCAGGCATGGTATTGCTAACCGGCGCCCAAGTCTACCAATCAACTTTCTAAGAACTGAAATCTCCAGGACGTGTACACTCATGGGGACCGAGCAGGGGGGTATTACCGGAAGAGAGAAGAGTACTCAGTACACATTTGGCAATAACTAAGGCAGACCCCCCTTCCACCTGGCAGGCAAACAAAAAGAAAAGAAACCCCGCAAAAGGACAGCGTACCCAGACGGAACAGAGCCGGCCGCTATGATTGGTGAAAACAAGCTGCGCAGTACTCCGTGCCCCTTACCAGTGCAAACTGCCCCTTACCCTAAGGCAAACAAGGGAGACAGAACACCTGAGCATACAAAGGGCGGTCGAAAACCAAGCAGTAAACGGCCTAGCAGAGGCAGAACCCAAGAAACTTGTGGAAGGTAGCCCCAAGCCCCATGGGCAGTACTTACTGGGCACCTAGGGAAGGGAGTCCTAGGTGCATGCAGCCTGAGTACTGAAGAATAACTCCTGGCTCCTGCACCACCTAGAAGACAGACACCACACACAAGGCACAGTGCTGAAACAACCACTGGAGCCAGAGTACATGACCGTTGTCTATAGCATCAGCCTCAGAACTGGGGGTGTGTATGGTCAGCGTGAGGGTCTGGGGCTTCCCCTTCCCCCTCCCGGGAAGGGGGGAGCTGCGCAGACGGCGACATGGCGATGTGTGACATCACACTCATTTCCTTGTTTCTGTTTGGGAAGTTCAATCCACTTGTTCGGCTTTTTGTAGTAATTTTCACCAGAATAGGGGGTTTGTTTTGGGACGTCTACCTTTCTGGGTGCCTAACCCGGTCGATGGCAGACATAGAATGCTTCCAACCACATGGGGATTTCTATAAGCCATTGCTCCTCATGCCGCTATGGAGGGGCCAGGTTCTGGCTCGTGGTCCCCAGTAGGCTTACAGAACTCCATACACATGACTGATGCCAAAGTCTGACATTAGCACATCAGCCTGGATAGCTCTGAGGAGTCGACGGGGCTCCCCCCAGAAAAATCCCCAATTTATTTTCAATTTTTTTTTTTTAATTTTCAAATTACGTTCATTTTTGGCCATACAGGTAAACGGCCAAATTCAGATGTAATTTGTACGAGAACAGGTTGCACCCTCAGTTCATATGACAATACTATATGTAAAGGGAATATTATATAGACATTCACCTGAATGCGATGCAGTTGAGCAGAAACATATGTATAATGTTGAGAATGTCTGTAGTGGAGCCACAGCGCTGACCTTTTTGTACGCCGCAGCTTCCCACTAAAGGGACGGGTCATGTACATCTTGGATAAGTCAACCTGTGTATGCAAAAATGAGAGCCAAGTTTATAATAACAAAGTATATAATTTCTAAAATATATTTTTACTGCTTAGGTAATTAGTGATGGCTTAATAAGGTACAGGTACATGTAATATATAAGTGACTAAATCATAAATCAAGCTTTGAATGTAATGCCTCTTTCTAGAGGGCCAATCAGTAGCTCCCCAATGCTACAACCTGAAAGCAGCCAATCCTTGAAGAACACACCAGGAATATGATCAATAAATGCCTGGACTGTGGGTCCAGGATCAGAATCTGGTATGCTAAAAGAGGCAAAAGGGAACCTGGGACTCACAGATCATCATAGAACCAAGCATAAGACCCAAAATAAAGCCCAAACTCTTGAAAACAAACAACTACTTACTTGTAAAAATTTGTAACCTTGATGAAAACAATGCAAACAATTGTTATCATGGCCAAATCACTGCCTACATACACTTGCCTGCCACCAAATGAAATCCAAAGCAACCTGGCATCCCAGTAAACCTAGCCAATTCATTTACAAGCCACTCAAAACCAACACTCTCTTAACTCCATATAAAAGGAGGGTAACAAGCAGGAATGTGGAGGTATTGTGTGGCACACCAGGAAGAGGGATTTATTTCATTATGTATATTCAATGCTTAATTTCAGGTATGGCCCCCCCCCCTCCCTCAGTAGAACTCTGCTGTATCTCACAACAAAGCCTCAACAAAGAAGGCTGTCAAATCTAGATAATCCCTAACTAGGTTATTACTGGGGCAATACAGGTTGGTTACCAGGAAAGATAAAACTTTCTTCAACAGCCAAAACAAACCTAACATAGAGTGTATGCAAAATGAGAGACAAAGAACACACACATGAAGCAAAATATGGAACAAAACCAAGTAAAATACCCTACAGAACGTTTGGTCAAGAAATAGCCAACACCACTTATCTGAAAGTTGAAATGTGGCAGAGGGTCCAGTAAAACTGAGCAGCTAAGGTCGTGCACCAGCCTCATGAATGAGCTGGCTGACTGACAGGTACCCTTAATCTCTAGGGCAACCTTCTAATGATGAGCGAGTAACTACAGTATTTAGTGATCTCTATGCAGAAACAATTGTTTGAATTATTTTTGTCAGGGTTATACATTTTTGCAAGCAATTGCTTGTTTTAAAGCATTTTGACTTTATGCTGGGTCTTTTGCTTGACTGTGGTGATCTCTGATTCTCAGAGCCTCCCTTCGCCTCTCTGAGTGGGAAAGATTCGGGTCCTGTCTCGCAGTCAGTAATTGTAGGTAATGAAACCCTGGTAAGTTACCTAAAGCTTGGCAGCTTCCAGATGACAGTATTAGGGAACTACAGAGAGGGACCAGAAATACTGTGAAAAAATTAACTATCTTTTCATACAAGTGGTTATATTGAAATAGATGTCTTGACAAATGGTTAATACAGTGCTTGACTAGCATGCACTACACTGTATACCAAAACTGTCTTTGATACAAAAGCTATAAGAGATTTAAAAGAGATAATCACTACAGTAATACAATGTGTCTTGTTATACAGAATATATATTTATGTACTAAAAATCTACTTTTTAACTCTATGCACGATGTAATTAATGATTTACTAATTAAGATATACTGGAATTGTTAATGCACAGAAGGAAACAAGTAAACATGATTAATTAAACTCACCTCTGCCTGAACTGTTTTCTTTCTGATCTAGAAAAAAACCAGCGTTGAATGTAATGAAACGCCATTTTCTGGGTGAGCCCCGGAGGCTCCCTGGAGCTTATCGGGCTAATGTGTGTTATGTTAGACCGGGACATTAGCTAAGGAGTTCAGACCTACCAGGGACCAGCGCCAGAACCTGGCCCCTTCAGAGAGGTTTCAGGGAGCAATGGCCCTGGAAAACCCCATATGGTTGGGGGTTTTCCTTATCTGCCATCGACCGGGGTTAGGCACCCAGAAAGGTAGGCGTAACAAAACAAACCCCACATGGTAAGAAACTACAACAAAAACCGAACAGAGAGGTAGAAAACTCCCTACAATCCCAAGGAAACAAACAAACAAGCAAACATCACACTTTACTGCCGCGCCGATCGTCCGCGCAGCCCTCCCCACCCCGGGAGGGGGAGGGGGGAGCCCCGGACCTACCGCGCCGGCTGCAAAGCTCCAGTTCGGAAGCTAAGCCTCAACCAACGCGAAAAAACCGCCGACCGGTGGGAGGGAGGGTGTCCAGGGAGCCTCCGGGGCTCACCCAGAAAATGGCGTTTCATTACATTCAACGCTGGTTTTCTGTGGGGAGCCCCTACGGCTCCCTGGAGCTTCATACCCAAAGAGAAGGAAAAGAAAGGGCTAACCCGGGAGGCGGCCGCCACAAACTCTGCAACGCAAAGCCAAGACAACCGGTCGCAAACCTGCGACCCAAGGCAACAAGAACGCCCAAGAACAGACGCACACATGGATGGGCGGCCAAAAACCTGTGCGACCCACAATTCCCTGCGCCCGAAATGAGCCCGAGACGTCACCAACACAGCAGCAATTGCTGTAAACGTCTGAACAGCACGGGCGCAAAGACAGACCGCAGTAAGAAGGAAAACACTGCGGACGACCCGGGAGACCCGAGCCCTGAAAACAGGGAACGAAGGAACCGGATCAACCACAGCGCATCCCCAGGCACGGTACGCCGGCAACAGCAAAAAGCACAACTGGACAACACAGGACGCACCCCCCGGCCAAACCAAACAAGTACCAATACCCCAAGAACCCCTCCGGAAAGCAGCCGTCTCGACCGTCGCCAGGACAGAGAAAGGCTGCACACCAATAAAGCTACCACCCGTACCAAAGAGGAGGAAACTGAAACCGAAGGGGCTACCACAAACTGAGGGGAAGAGAAGAAGGCACCCTGAACAAGGACCAGGATGGCTCAGGCGACTCATGAGCAGGCCGGAGGGGAAACAAAACGCGAGAAGACGTAATAAACGTCATACAGTCTCCAAGACGAAGCTCGCAGGTGGGACACCGTCAACAAAGCCACCTGAACACCATAGAGATGGCGATACCTGCGTCAAAATACCAGACGCGAAGAGCCAAAGAGAAGGCCGAACCAGTCACGGACAGGACCGATTCGGCCTGCTGAAAGAGGCGAAGCCTCAGGAAAAACGCCCCGGGTACGGACACCTATCAAGCAGCGTCTGAAAAGAAGGCCGGGCCGGCCACAGTGGAACCATAAGGACTGTTCTCGTGGGAATGGGCTGCAACTGAGCCAGAACCCGAAGCAACAGCTGGACCGGGAGAAGAGGTACAGGTACCCCCCACCTCGACCAGGCCTGCCGAAAGCCTCCACCGTGAAGTCCTCGCAGGTGGGAAGGGCGCCACAAAACGGGCGACGCCTAGACCACGCCGACCCGAAGACGTCCATGGCCAGGAGTCCATAAGCCCAACAGAGCCAACAAAACGAATCGGCGACGACTGGCCAACCCACGAAGAGGAATGAACCGAGACAGCTGTCCACCAGGACGCAGGACACACCCCGGACACGAACCACACGGTTAACCAAACCCCCTGTGGTTCCGGCAAGAACCACCAGAGAACAGTCCAAACAGAGCTGAACGGTAGAGTACCTAGTGACCCAAACCCTCCGAAGCGCAAACCAGACAGCCATGAACACCTGAACCAGGCTGTGAGCCCGACGGACAGACAGACTCCATCAACCTCGGCCGACCTGGTGAGCACTGGTCACAAAGCCCCAGCCGAGAGACGACCCGTCCGTGAACACATCGAGCGAAGGCTCGGGGAGCCGCCAAGGCACGGAACCCCGAAAACCCCAAAGAGGAAGCTGGTGACGCAGCACCAACACCAGATCCCCAGAGGAACCCAAGGAATGCAAGAGGCGGAAGTGGAGTCTCCGTAGGAACCAACCGACGCCGGAGCCAAACCCGACTCCGCGGGCAGACAAGCACGCCGAAGTGCAAACTCCCGCACAACCGCCCAAGCAACCGCTGAGCAACCCGGGACCCCCTCCTGAACAGCCAAAGGCGGGACCACAGCCACAGTAACACTTCTGGAGGGAAGACAATGAGGGGCCCAAGAGCCTGAAACAAGGCCCAGGTCCGAACCCGGGACGGAAACAGAAGGTAAAACCTCCAGATCACCAGGAAACCAAACCCAGCGATCTGGAAAGAACCATCCCCTGGCGAGCAGACAAGCGGACTGACTGGGAGCCCACTCCAGCCAGTCGTCGAGGTAGGCCAGACACCGAATCTCAGACGCAGACAGGGCACTAAGATCCGGTAAAGATGCAAAGAGTATACAAAGTGCCCTTCACAAAATAGGGAATGCAATAAAAACAGCAAACCTGAAGCCCCAACACCAAAGCATTGTATGACAATCATATGAAGACATTATGACATATGACAATCATTATATGACAATATGACAATTATAATCAAAGCATTATATGACAGAGTGCTGGGAAGACGGGACACCACGAGAGTAGCACTCATCCTGTAACTACTCTTAGGTAAGTACACATAGGTAATTACCAACCGTGCTAGCCCCAGAAAAACTGGAGAGGAACGTGCCAAGAAGTGACCTGGAGGTCCAGGTCCACCATCCATGCACCCGGCCCTAACAGAATCCGAACAGGAGACAACAGTCCTCCGAGCAGGGCAGAGGATCCAGGGCGCAGACGGTAGTAGTCCAGAAGAACTGCAGACTGGAAAAGCTCATGACTGCAAAGAGCAGACGGGAAGCCCAGAAGGATGGGGCGGATCAACCACGCCCCACGCACCCACGAAGAGGAAATGACGAAGCGCAGGGAAGAAGCCCACCCCGCCAGCTCTGAACCCCCCCAAGGGGGAGAAGCCGTCCTCCGACGCCAGCAGAGGCCGGAAGACAACCCAAAGCGCCCACCAACAGCGGGACCAAGCGAGAGGCAACAGAGCAAGCTGCTCCCCCAGCGCCCAGTCAACAGAGAAGGGAACAGAACCCTTCAGAAAGAAAAAGTACACTACCGAAGTCATGAGGAGAGACTACGGGAATGAAACCACACTTCGCTGGAAGAGGAAGTGAGGGGAGACCTGATCACCACATACAAGATACCCAAGGGAATCGACAGGGTTGAGAAGGACAGGATATGTAACACAAGGGGCACAAGCACTAGGGGACACAGGTGGAAACTGAGTACCCAAAAGAGCCACAGATAGAATTAGTTTTTTTTTTTGAGTGTCAGAACGGGAACGGGAAAGCACTAAGAAGTAATGTGGCGACTCCTCACACAAGTAACGAGGCTGACCCCCATACAATGCCACATGTAGACATGACAGAGCCCAAGAGGCACAGGAACCGATACACCTGTTGACGGACGGTTGAGAGGCAGGACCAAGGAGCCAGAGCCCAACCCCCACAAGCACAACTAGGTGAGGACACATATTGTAAAAGCACAAGCCGCCGACTAGTGGCAAAGAGCACTACGCCGGCCAGGCAAAGAAGGCACAAAACTGCATCAAAAGGCCCACCTCGACAGCAAAACCACAAAGCCCCAGCACAACCACAACATGTGCCAAGACCCAAAAAGCTCAGTCTGCAAGCCAGGAAGACCCCGGAACCCCAAAAGGCAGAACCGGGTCACACGAGGAAACAAAGTCCCCTGAACTCACAAAAGGGGGCCCAAGAGGAAGAAACCTCCAGAACGAAACCAAGGAACCCAAAGGAACCCAGAATCGAACCAGGGGGAGCCCAAACCACCACATTTGCCGGCGGAGAACACCACTAAAAGGCAAAGCACAGACCCCAGCAGAACGCCCTGGGAAAACGGTCCCAACAGACCGAAAACCGAGGGGCAAGGTGTGGGAGCAAGCATACCAGCCAGGGGCACTGAGCCTAAACCCAGAGGCTCAGACCCAAAATCAACACCCAAACGTTCCCAGAGGAACAGGCAACAGCAAGAAAACACCAGAAAAACAAAAAAACGACAACAGGAGAACAAAAACCCTGCAAATATTTTGAAAACTCACCAGAGACGCTCGCTCGCACACCCAGACGCATGTAAACAAACCGCAACGCCGCCCTGGTGGCCACGCCGGGAAACCGGCAGACGAAAATGGCCGCCAGCAGGGGCTGTGACTGACGCTAAATACACAAAAACACGCCAGCAAATGTGGGAAGCTAGCAGACTGGAAGGGCGAAAAACGACGCCCAAAAGCAGAAAAACCCCTGAAGGGGCAAAACCGCCCCAGAACTGCTAGTAGGCATCCCCCACAGCCCCGGGAACCAACAACAGAGGCCCCGGGGCAGAGCCGTCCTCCAAGCCCTCCGCCCTGAAAGAAAAGCAAGAGCCCATGGGAAAGGCAACAAGAAAGGGCCGCTGGTAAGACCCAGAAGCCTTGGCAGGAGGCACAGGCTCAAACCTCCGTCCCCAACCCGAACGGGGCATCCCCCGAAAACCGCCCGAGTCTCTGCCGCAACTGAACCCCGCCCCGACCCAGAAACACGCAGACGGTCCGGAGCCGGGAACATGGAGAGAAAGGGGCGAGCAGCACCTAACCAAACGGGGCGGCCACGGGGCATTCGAGTGGGAAACCAACCTAGCATGTTGCAGCAACCTAACCTAGCATGCAACACGGATGCCGCCTGTACTCTGAACAGAATTAACATCAGGAGAGTACTGGAGAACAAGCAGAGAATCACTCGCAAGACTCCGGGTCAAGGTGTCAGTGACCCAACAGGCAGCATGACGGAGGTAAAAATGGCGACTGTCACCCGGAGACAAGGGAACAGCAACCAACGATCCCGTACAAGACGGGTTGGAACCCGGAAGACACATTCAATGGTCCCCCGAGCCCAGACAGGGGTTTCCAGGGCCCGTAGGGTAACAACTACGGGAAGCCCGGGCAAGGTGTTGCTAACCGGTTAAGAAACCCAAACATAACAAGAGGGTAGATTATAGCACTGAAAACCCCCGAGACGTGTACAAGCACGGGGGCCTAGCAGAGGGCCGCCAAACACTACCAGTGGAACTATAACCACCTTAGGCAGACCCCCACCAGGCAAGAAAATGAAAAACAAAAGAAAAACCCCGCAAAAGTACACCGTCTCCAGAGGCAACAGAAACCGGCCGCCGCTTAGGTGGCAGGCTGCGCAACACCTCGACGCCCTAACCAGCACAATACCAATCCCTACCCAGGGCCAAACAAGGGCCCCAAGCCCCAGCTGGCCCCAAGGGCGAGGCAAATGCCGAGCAGCAAGAACCTCTACGGGAATGGTTCCCGAACGCCCCAGGGAAGATAACCCTGTAACGCAAGGGCAGTACTCACAGGGCGCTTAGGGAAGTCAGCCACTAAGCACATGCAGCCCCGGCACTGATGAAGTACTCCTGGCCACCGCACACCACAACACACGGCAGTGAACGCCACACAAGGCAAACACCGCCTAGGAAACTGAGGCCAGAGAAGCGTCAATCCCGGTTGACATTAGCGAACGAACTGAAGCTTTGCAGCCGGCGCGGTAGGTCCGGGGCTCCCCCCTCCCCCTCCCGGGGTGGGGAGGGCTGCGCGGACGATCGGCGCGGCAGTAAAGTGTGATGTTTGCTTGTTTGTTTGTTTCCTTGGGATTGTAGGGAGTTTTCTACCTCTCTGTTCGGTTTTTGTTGTAGTTTCTTACCATGTGGGGTTTGTTTTGTTACGCCTACCTTTCTGGGTGCCTAACCCCGGTCGATGGCAGATAAGGAAAACCCCCAACCATATGGGGTTTTCCAGGGCCATTGCTCCCTGAAACCTCTCTGAAGGGGCCAGGTTCTGGCGCTGGTCCCTGGTAGGTCTGAACTCCTTAGCTAATGTCCCGGTCTAACATAACACACATTAGCCCGATAAGCTCCAGGGAGCCGTAGGGGCTCCCCACAGAAAACAAAAAGTACATAAAAAATTACTAAAGAAAATATGCATGATAAAACTATGTATCTCTTGCAAATAGGAAAAGTACGCAAGAACAAATATTTGTAGCTTCTAAAAGTATTAAAGTAAAAAAATAAACAACCATGCAAAACATAATACCAATTCACAAAGCTCTAATTATAAATGAAAATTACAGAATTATTTTTCCATGCTGTAACTACTATCAAGTTTATTACTACACCTGGCCAGGTGATACAAGTTTTATTCATCAACATTACGGGTAGAGAATGTTACAGATACCATCGCCAATACTGTACTTTTCAAAGGGCATATGTAAAAGGAGTGATGGCTGATATCTATCACAGAAGCAAACAAAACTGAAATGGTATAAGGACAACAATGGTATAGGACCTATATTGGTATAGGATATACATTAGTGTAGGATCTACACTGGTATGGATTGACAATGGAATAGGATATACATTTGTACAGGATCTACAATGGTATAGAATCTATACTGGTATAGGATCGACACTGGTATAGGATATATACACTGGTATATATATGATCAACATTGCTATAGGACTTACAATGGTATAGGATTTACATTGGTATAAGATCTACAATGGTAGAGAATCTACATGGGTAAAGGATCTACACTAGTATAGGAGCGACAACAGGATCTGCCTGACACGATGAGTGTTAGTGGCTTTGCAAGAATGTAAGAACACCAATGTTATGTACTCTCAACACTGTATTATTTATGTTATGTAGGATCAACACTGGTATAGGATAAACACTGGTATAGGATCTACACTGGTACTGTATAGGATAAACTGGTATAGGATCAACACTGGTATAGGATCAACACTGGTATAGGATCTACACTGGCATAGGATCAACACTGGTATAGGATCAACACTGGTATAGGATCAACACTGGTATAGGATCAACACTGGTATAGGATCAACACTGGTATAGGATCAACACTGGTACAGGATCAACACTGGTATAGGATCAACACTGGTATAGGATCAACACTGGTATAGGATCAACACTGGTATAGGATCAACACTGGTATAGGATCTACACTGGCATAGGATCAAGACTGGTATAGGATCAACACTGGTATAGGATCAACACTGGTATAGGATCAAGACTGGTATAGGATCAACACTGGTATAGGATCAACACTGGTATAGGATCTACACTGGTATAGGATCTACACTGGTATAGGATCAACACTGGTATAGGATCAACACTGGTATAGGATCAACACTGGTATAGGATCAACACTGGTATAGGATCTACACTGGTATAGGATCTACACTGGTATAGGATCAACACTGGTATAGGATCAACACTGGTATAGGATCAACACTGGTATAGGATCAACACTGGTATAGGATCAACACTGGTATAGGATCAACACTGGTATAGGATCAACACTGGTATAGGATCAACACTGGTATAGGATCTACACTGGTATAGGATCTACACTGGTATAGGATCAACACTGGTATAGGATCTACACTGGTATAGGATCAACACTGGTATAGGATCTACACTGGTATAGGATCAACACTGGTATAGGATCTACACTGGTATAGGATCTACTCTGGTATAGGATCTACTCTGGTATAGGATCAACACTGGTATAGGATCTACACTGGTATAGGATCAGGGTCCGTCTAATTACCACAAGCTACCACAAGCTTCAGAAAGCTTCCTGGCAATACATTAGTAATGAATAAATATGATATGTTAGGTTAGGCTGACCTAACCTAACCTAACCTAACCTATCCTAACCTAACCTATCCTAACCTAACCTAACCTAATTTAACCAAACCTAACCTAACCTAACCGACGCTTGGATCGTCGACTTGATTTGGCGTCACCAGCTTTTTATTTTCATCTAATTTCTTTATAAAAAGATACTTTTTCAGATTAAAATTATGTTTTTTCGTGTTGTACATTCAGCACCAACATTATAATGAGTAAATATATCATATTTATTCATTACTAACGTATTGCCAGGAAGCTTTCTGAAGCTTGTGTAGCTTGTGGTAATTAGACGGACTGTAGGATCAACACTGGTATAGGATCTACACTGGTATAGGATCAACACTGGTATAGGATCAACACTGGTATAGGATCTACACTGGTATAGGATCTACACAGGTATAGGATCAACACTGGTATAGGATCTACACTGGTATAGGATCTACACAGGTATAGGATCAACACTGGTATAGGATCTACACTGGTATAGGATCTACACAGGTATAGGATCAACACTGGTATAGGATCTGCACAGGTATAGGATCAACACTGGTATAGGATCTACATTGGCGTAAGATCAACACTGGTATAGGATCTACAGTGGTATAAGATCGACACTAGTATAGGATCTACATTGTATAGGATCTACATAGGTATAAGACCAACACTGGTAAAGGATCAACACTGGTATAGGATCTACACTGGTATAGGATCTACATTGGTGTAAGATCAACACTGGTATAGGAACTACATTGGTATAGGATCTACATTGGTATAGGATCTATACTGGTATAGGATCTACATTGGTATAGGATCTACATTGGTACAGGATCTATATTGGTCCAGTATCTACATTGGTATAGGATCTACAATGGTACAGGATCTACATTGATATAGGATCTACATTGGTATATGATCTATATTGGTACAGCATCTACATTAGTATAGGATCTATATTGGTATATGATCTATATTGGTACAGCATCTACATTAGTATAGGACCTACATTGGTATACGATCTACACTGGCATAAGATCTACACTGATATAGGATGTATATTGTAATAGGATCTACAATGTTGACCAAACCACATTAGAAAGTGAAGGGACGACGACGTTTCGGTCCGTCCTGCATTGGTACAGGATCTACAATAGTATAGGATCTATTAATAGTAGTCAAATTTATGGATAACTGAACAAGGAACGAGGGGGAAGCAATGAGGAAAGGAATTCCAGCTAACGTTCTCATTTCTTAAAGGAGAAAAATGGTGTATATATTCTAGCTCTAATCACAACATTCCACTTGACCAGATGCTTAATTAAAGGATAGTTATATATACTATACTGTACTGCATACAGTATATTATAAATTATATTATGCAATTACTGCAACATAGTAAATTATAGCCTAATATCTATTAAATAAGTATAATATAATATTAAAAGATCTAAAGTATGTCAAACTTCTCAAGCAAGCAGAATATTTTGCAAGACTAAATAAACTTAATACATGCATCTACACGTTTACAATCTGAGTTCATGAGTCAAAACATAAAATATTAAAAGGCAAAACAGGGTGAAATATATACTAGTACTCTATTAACTAACCTGGAGTGAACCTTTAAGGTTAACCTTGGAATGTTTGTTATTTAAGTACTGATCTTCTAGCCAGGCAATAAGCTCTAAACTAGGAGGAACTTTCCAAACGCCATCAACTTCTAATTCCCATTTTGCTGCTTCTGGCATTAAGCTCATATAAGCTACTTCTCGCTGCCCTTCATTGACCTGGAGAGAGGGAAGGCAATTATCAAGAGAAAACACCAAGCCATTACGACTATATTGCACTTGGAAGGAATTTGGATATGGATTTGGAATGGGAGGAGGGAAAGGAATGATGTCCAACCACTTGGACAGTCAGGGATTGAACGCTGACCTGCATGAAGCGAGACCGTTTCTCTACTGTCCAGCCCAAGTGGTTGGGCACCATTCCTTTTCCCCAAATCATCCCAAATCCTTATCCTGATCCCTTCTAAGTGCTATATATACAGATAATTTACAATTATCTTGGATTGAGACAATTTGTAAGAAAAACATGATCTCTCTCTCTCTCTCTCAATAGATAATTTACTTAATTCCTAAGAGTACAGTACTGAATTTCAGTAATAAATGTAATCTCTTTGAAATCATCACATGAGCAGATAAACATAGAGTACTAATGACTTTCAATCCTATGCTTGAACAATAAAATTAAGGGATGAATGATGTGCTTACAAGAGATAACCCAATCTTTTCCATAGCAAGGCACAGTTCAATGGTGGCTCGTTCCATAGGGAGGCGGGTTGTAGCAGCCAGGCGATCAGACTGAGTGAAGAGCAAGACTCGTTGACTTCCCTGCTTGTGACTCACCCAGTGGACTAGCATTTTGTCTCTTCGTGTCTTACCCAGCTGAAAGAAGCCCATAAAGGAGATTAGATTTCCAGTACTATACATCCTTGGGTGAAATAAGATTTCTTGTGTTTACCTTATTTAATATAGAAGTTCTGTACCTACTAATTAATGAATATAATATGTTCTTATATATATTTTATAAATAAAATTATTATTATTATTATTATTATTTAATTATAAATAAAAAAGGAAAATTATATTCCTCGAATGTAAGCTGAATGGACAGCGCTTGGGGTTTGTAGTCTTAAGGGTTCGGGTTCGATCCCAAGCGGAGGCAGAAACAAATGGGCAGTTTCTTTCACCCTGATGCACATGTTCACCCAGCAGTAAATAGGTACCTGGGAGTTGGCCAGCTGCTACGGGCTGCTTCCTGGGGATGTGTGTGTTTATGTGTAATTACCTAATGTAGTTACAGGATGAGAGCTACACTCGTGGTGTCCCGTCTTCCCAGCACTCTTTGTCATATAACGCTTTGAAACTACTGATGGTCTTGGCCTCCACCACCCTCTCAACGAACTTGTTCCAATCGTCCATCACTCTCCTTGCGAAAGTGAATTTTCTTATATTTCTTCGGCATCTGTGTTTAGCTAGTTTAAATCTATGACCTCTTGTTCTTAAAGTTCCAGGTCTCAGGAAATCTTCCCTATCGATTTCATCAATTCCTGTTACTATTTTGTATGTAGTGATCATATCACCTCTTTTTCTTCTGTCTTCTAGTTTTGGCATATTTAATGCCTCTAACCTCTCCTCGTAGCTCTTGCCCTTCAGTTCTGGGAGCCACTTAGTAGCATGTCATTGCACCTTTTCCAGTTTGTTGATGTGCTTCTTAAGATATGGGCACCACACAACCGCTGCATACTCTAGCTTTGGCCTAACAAAAGTCGTGAACAATTTCTTTAGTATATCGCCATTCATGTAATTAAAAGCAATTCTGAAGTTAGAAAGCGTGGCATAGACTCCTCGCACAATATTCTTTATGTGGTCCTCAGGTCCACACCACCACAGATCACCTGAGGACCACATAAAGAATATTGTGCGAGGAGTCTATGCCACACTTTCTAACTTCAGAATTGCTTTCTATCTAGAACCACCTGAGGACCACATAAAGAATATTGTGCGAGGAGTCTATGCCACGCTTTCTAACTTCAGAATTGTTTTCTATCTAGAACCACTCCTAGATCTCTTTCTTTATCAGAATTCTTTAAAGAGTTCTCACATAATATATAGGTTGTGTGGGGTCTATGTTCTCTTATTCCACATTGCATAACATGGCATTTATTAACATTAAATTCCATTTGCCAAGTGGTGCTCCATATACTTATTTTGTCCAGGTCATCTTGAAGGGCATGACAATCATCTAAGTTTCTTATCCTTCCTATTATCTTAGCATCATCAGCAAACATGTTCATATAATTTTGTATACCAATTGGTAGACCATTTATGTAGACAATAAATATCACTGGTGCAAGAACTGAACCTTGTGGTACTCCACTTGTGACATTTCTCCAGTCCGATACATTGCCTCTGATCACTGCCCTCATTTTTCTATCAGTCAGAAAATTTTTCATCCATGTTAGAAGCTTACCTGTCACCCCTCCAATATTTTCCAGTTTCCAGAACAACCTCTTATGTGGAACTCTGTCGAAAGCCTTTTTTAGGTCCGAGGTCTCTTTTAGGTCTCGCTTCTGGGTGCCTTCCCCAGTTCATGGCAATTATGACATACTTTAAATGTAAAGTGCTCGTAGGCCATTGCTCTCTGCATTTCTCTGAGGGAGGGAAGCGAGGTTCTGGCTCGTGGTTCCTGGTAGGCAAGAGAACGCCTGTGACTAATGACCCCAAACTAATATAACATTATATCAGTTCGGATAGCTTCAGGGAGCCGACGAGTGTCTCCACAGAAACAATTCTCAGAATTAGGTTTTTTCAACATTTCTTAACATCACTATGGCTATACTAAAATTATTATAACTTGTTTTCCACAGCATCAGATATACATGTTTTATGATATAGAAAGTAAAAAGAATTTTACATTTTTATGAGCACCAGGAAATTTATCTACAGTAATTTAGGGTGAACAGTTAGTGGGTTAAGAAAAATGACTGCTCACAAATACAGTATCTACATTTTCTATGCATCAGACTCGATAGGTTAGGTGGGTTGCTTGGATTTTAACATTTCTGGTTAGGCTATAAGGTTGAATTTTTTATAGAGTGACATATCAAGAGAATGGGCAACAGTAAAACAGTGTCCTTGGCCGGCAGTATAAATTAGTGACTTAAAGTCCAAATGAGCCAGTTATTAGAGAGGCCAGGACATGGATCACTAAGAGGTGAAAGTTTTGAAAAGTCATTATGACGAGTCATGAGTGCTTGGGGAGCCAAGTTTAACTCGAACAGCATAACCCAATAAAAGTGACTGATTCGAAACTTCAGCTATGCCCTGAATCTTTTATGATCAAAACATGCCAAAATGCCACATGGAGATCCTTGGGAAATGAATCATTAAAATAAAGTCCTGGTAGTACAGTCATGTTCGTTTTCATCTCACAAGTGAGAATTCTGAATTCGAATCACAGGCGGCTCAGAAATGGTTGGGCGCATTTCCTGTAACCTAATGTGCCTGTTCACCTAGCAGTAAGTAGTTACTCCGGAGTTAGTCAGCTTGTTGTGGGGTTGCATCCTGGGCGGGGTCAGTAATTTGACCTGAGGGGAGGGGGGAGGGGGTCCTCGATATAAGCTTAATATGTATGAATACACTCTGGCTGCCTGTTCCCCGACACAATGAATTAATAGCCCAACACCACCTATCAAAACATGGATATAGTGGTCATCTGAAAGTAAGCACAGGGAATGTGGTCCTTGACCCTCAACAGGTGTACATGAATACAAGTGTACATGTATAATAATTTAAAAACTTTCTAAATATTTTACCTGGAATTTGTGGTCAGGGACTAAGAACTGGCTATGCACTTTATCAGCAGCACTATCAGTCTCATCATCTGAATCTGTTGATGTTGATACAGTCGTCTTTGCCCTTTGACGTTGGCCGAGTTTCTTTGGCCTAGTCTTAGGGGTTCCCACACTGGACTGAGATTTAGTTCGTACCATACCTGGCTTGAGTGATGTAACTGTTACACACTTACTACCATGATCGTCCTTATGAAATAAAAATAAAAATTAAATTAATTAAATATTTCAGAAGAAATATTGCATAATTATCAGTGCAATTGCCTAATTCCAATATAATAAATTGTATAATTAATGTAGCACACTACATTATATCCTGCACAACATTTAAGAAATACCCAGTGAATACAGTATTATATATTCAAGACTTTTTCTATATTTAGATCTAAAAGAAAAAGTCTTAGTCACCTTATCAATGACAGCAGACATATCTTCACTCTTTTTGTTATAGATGTTCCAGAGGAGTTCATGAGGTAGTGTTGGGTCATCCCATGTATACAGCTGTGACTGGTGTGGTGCCAGAAGATGTGTCTACAAATATAAAATATGTAATTACAGGCAACACTGTATTTGCACAAGGAATATGTTCATGAAAAAAATTATTGAACATAATAAAACTATCTTCTCTGATGAGCATTTAATAGCTTTCTGGAGCTTATATGCTGGCATTGTGAAGCTTAAAGATGTGCATCAGACCTCTAAGTGCCTCACTGACATACTGAGAGACAGGATCACAATCAAGCTCTCTCAATGTGGCAAGAGGAACTTGGGGATTAAAGATTAACTCAAACCAAAGAAAAATCCACTAGAAATATTAGTCAAAAGAGAACATGCTACTGCTTGCAGAAAGAAATAAAATCAGAGAAAAACAAGGAAAATTATTATTGCTGTAGGCAAACAGTCCTAACTTTGATGTGCCCAACTACCACCAGATACTATCCTGAATCCTAAAATCCCATGGGGAAGAAGGTATCAGTTGGCAAATAAGAGGAACTGAGGGTGGAAATACTGAGGAACCATTAAAAAGAGGCACTTCATTATATTCAATCCTAGAGCTTACCTTTCAGTGAGTATGAGGAGTGAGATCTAACTCTTAATGTCCTGTCCTGCCTCCTAGCTCTTCATATCTGGCACACTAATTACTCTTCCCAATATTAATATTTTTATAGGACAAAAACCTACACTTGTGTATTTGTGAGATTAATGTAAAAAAATTTCACCTACACTTGTGTATTTGTGAGATTAATGTAAAAAATTTCACCAAGTCTTTTGCACTCCCCTGAGTGCTTTGGCAAGGTCTGAATGTGTGGTTAGGATGAGACTTACATCTCAACATCTAATGACGCTGCAATCCTCTTGAGGTTATCTTGAGATGATTTCGGGGCTGAATGTCCCCGCAGCCCGGTCCTTGACCAAGCCTCCACCCACAGGAAGCAGCCCGGAGCAGCTGCCTAACTCCCAGGTACCTATTTACTGCTAGGTAACAGGAGCATTAGGGTGAAAGAAACATTTTGCCCTTTTGTCTCCGCCTCCCCCGGGGATCGAACCCAGAACCTCAGTACTACGAATCCGAAGCGCTGTCCACCCAGCTGTCAGGCGCCCTAGGATCCAATCCTCTTATCCTTCTTGACCTCCTGACCATGTCACCTCTATTCCTGACTGCTAATGCACCTGCAGTAATGTTTTTTATGGAATTATGGTCAGATGTCCTTTATGTAATTCTGATATTCTGAGAACTGTTGTTGTTATTAATAGAGGTGTTCATCTGGATGCTAGCCCTTGTAACCCTCTCCATACCCCAAGAAATGTACCTAATGGGATTGCTTTCATTCCTCAATTTATTGAGACCAAATTTAAATTCACATTTCCTTGGGTATGGATAGCATCCAGATGAACACCTCCATTAATAACAACTCCAGTTCTCAGAATATTAGGATTACAGAAAGGAGACCTGACCATAATTCCATAGCAGACATTACCACAGGTGCATCAGCAGTCAGGAATAGAGGTGACATGGTCAGGAGGTCAAGAAGGATAAGCACCAAGGAAGTGCAAAAACAAGGGACAAACTTAAGATGAGAATGACCACAAATCATTTAACTGAATAATGAGGCCTCATCCAGCCACTAGAATTACAAGAAAGAAGAGCCAAGATAAAGGTGATGTGGGTAGCATCTTGAAACTTTGTTAATATAGCGCTGCTGAAATCTGGTGGTGGTATCTAGGCAAAGCAAGCCAACTAGTAGTTGGCAAAGTGATAAGCTGCAGTCTCTCTGAAGCTAGGAGGGAGTTTTGATAATAAATAAAAAAAACTACTGGAAGTCATTCCTGACTAGATAGTGTTCTCCAGTGTTTTCCTTACACCAGTATGGCCCAGCAGGGATGTTTTAAGAGATTCCCAGTGTATTTACCTAGTTGTATTCACTTAGTTGTGCTTGCGGGGGTTGAGCTCTGCTCTTTCGGCCCACCTGTCAACTGTCAATCAACTGTTACTAACTACTATTTTTTTCCCCACACTACACACACACACACACACCTCAGGAAGCAGCCCGTGACAGCTGACTAACTCCCAAGTACCTATTTACTGCTAACAGGGGCATCAGCGTGAAAGTAACTCTGCCCATTGTTTCTCGCCGGCGCCGGGAATCGAACCCGCGACCACAGGATCATGCGTCCAGTGTGCTGTCCAGTCAGCCACCGACCCCCCCTCATTACACTAAGGTGTGATGAGATGTAATTGTTGGCCTGACTTGGCTGTGTCTATCCTTGGGAAGCACAGGTAATTTCTTAGGGTATCATCAAAATGACACTGCATAGAAAGCCAAATGAGATGCCATTTACCACAAGCACTCTAAATTCTTTTATCCAAAAATATGTGAGCATCATCATACCTGGTTTGAGCCTTTTTGGTGGATGCGAAGGTGTACATCATCACACCAGTTCTCAACTCGAACAGGTGCATCACCAGCTTGGTATTTATCAAAGGTGATTGTTACTGGATGATCAGACCCCACACCACACACGCTGACATTTAATGCTCTCTGGTGGTTGAGGAATATTAAATTTATTAATAGATTGCAATAGTAGATAAGACAGTTATTATGACCAAAGATGTAATTTGATTGCAACTTCTATCTACCTTCATTGAATCCAATTTACTGGAGTAAAAAAGGTGCAAAACACCTCAAAGCAATTAAAAAAATTAACTTGTCATCCTCTACTGTTAGTAGCATCAAATTAACCATACAAATATAATCTACTCCTAGTATTTTCATTGACACTTAAAATACTGTGATAATTATATATATATATATATATATATATATATATATATATATATATATATATATATATATATATATATATATATATATATATATATATATTGGTGTATACTGGCAGCAGGTTTTCTTTCAAACATGTTTCATTGAATATGACCGCATATTCTGTATTTATTATTTTCTGGTTTAGGGCTTCTATCCCTCTAACTATTTTCTTAGCATCAGGGCTTAATTGAAATAGGAGTTCTCCAAAACTCATTTTTGTACTTTTAAGGTGAAGAAAAGAAGTGATTTACTATAGAGTGTATTACACTTATTTGTATAATTTGCACGACGTTTCGAACCTCCATGGTTCATTCTCAAGTGAACAGATCTTACAATACTAGTTGATTTTATACCCGCATTAGGTCAGGTGATAATACAATGAAGGTGAAAACATGGGGGGATACATAAGGGATAAACATAGGGGCTGCAGAAGGCTTATTGGCCCATACGAGGCATCTCCTATCTAAACACAAAGATTAATCCAGTGTAATTGGCCTGTTATGTTGGACATTGTCTTCTGTGTTGGCATCGATATGTTCTTGTCTTGTCCTTACTTGTCCTTGACAAGAACATATCGATGCCAACACAGAAGACAATGTCCAACATAACAGGCCAATTACACTGGATTAATCTTTGTGTTTAGATAGGAGATGCCTCGTATGGGCCAATAAGCCTTCTGCAGCCCCTATGTTTATCCCTTATGTATCCCCCCATGTTTTCACCTTCATTGTATTATCACCTGACCTAATGCGGGTATAAAATCAACTAGTATTGTAAGATCTGTTCACTTGAGAATGAACCATGGAGGTTCGAAACGTCGTGCAAATTATACAAATAAGTGTAATACACTCTATAGTAAATCACTTCTTTTCTTCACCTTAAAAGTACAAAAATGAGTTTTGGAGAACTCCTATTTCAATTAAGCCCTGATGCTAAGAAAATAGTTAGAGGGATAGAAGCCCTAAACCAGAAAATAATAATACAGAATATGCGGTCATATTCAATGAAACATATATATATATATATATATATATATATATATATATATATATATATATATATATATATATATATATACGTGAGAAAGCTGCATGAAAGCGCAAGCCATATATCACTAAGAACTCTTTGACCCGGCCAGGATTCGAACCCATGCCATCCAGGATCACCCCTAAATGTACACAGTACCGTGACCCCCGCACCAATGATCGTCTAGACGATCGCATGGGTTTCGCATGGGTTCGAATCTTGGCCGGGTCAAAGAGTTCTTAGTGATATTATATATATATATATATATATATATATATATATATATATATATATATATATATATATATATATATATATATATATATATATATATATATATATATATATACAGTGGAACCTCTATTAACGAGTGGCTCTATTAACGAGTTTTTCCAGTAACGAGCAAGCCACTCGCAGCAAATTTGTCTCTATTGACGAGCTCGCCTCTATTAACGAGTGAAACCACATGGCGCTTCCTAGCGTCTCGCGGGTTCTCGCAAATTCTCGGACGCCTCCGACGCCAGTGTTGTTGTTGTATCTCACACGACAAGCATCCCTCTGGATTTATTTGAGCTTTTCTTTGGGTTTTTAGTGGTTTTGCGACTACAATTTGTAACAAACGATGTCTCCAAAGAAGCTGCTTGCTAAAGATAGTGTTGTCAAGAGGAAGAAAGACACAATTACTGTGGATTTAAAGAAGGAAATTATAGCAAAGCATGAGTGTGGTGTCTGTGTGATTGATCTCACAAGGAAGTATGGCAGGTCCTCATCAACAATTTACACCATTAGTAAGGGAATGAGGAGGTAAGGGAGGATGCTGCCTCTTAAACTGAGATCAGGGAAGTGTTTGGAATGTTTGAAAAGGTGAACGCATTCTTGGAAAAGCTGCCCTGATAAAGCAGTGACAACCCGGTGTGTGAAAATGTTTAATTAATTTATCACTTTGTGATAACACTTTATGAAAGTGTTATCACTTTCGCAGGTATATGTCGCTTGAACATAACACACTTTTTTTCTCTTGAATGTTCCCAAACACCGCGCTCAAGCGTCATTTGAGCAAATATTTCTATAAAATCCAATTCTTATCCGATTGACTTGGGGATTGTATACAAGTTTGCCATGAAATTTCCGTTTTCTTTAATAACCACATTGCCTATTTGAGAAAACGGCATTGTATTGTATCTTCGGGGTAAGACTATTATATTGTTGACACAACGAGTGTAATCAACGTAGTTTTTTATTTGGTGCTGGTCTAACGCATCCTTGTGTGACATTTGAAATGAAATTTGGGTGAAATTCCCAAGAAGAGAGAGTCCGCCTGACTCAGAGGTGGATTCTCCTTCCACACCATAACCCCTCTCCTCCTTCCCACCTCTCCATTGTCTCCCTCAAGCCAGCAACTACTCTTCATAAGGTAAAGTAAATATTAAAACACTACAACAAAACATTTATATTTACATGTGCAGTATTATATTTACATAAAAAAAAGTCATACAAGTATGGATGTTTTTGGGAGTGGAACGGATTAAATTTATTTCCTTTATTTTAAATGGGGAAATTTGTTTCCAAAGACGAGTTTTCCAGGTAACGAGCTCGGTGCCAGAACGGATTAAACTCGTTAATAGAGGTTCCACTGTATATATATATATATATATATATATATATATATATATATATATATATATATATATATATATATATATATATACAGTATAACTATGGAACCTTAAAAAAATGCTAATCTTATTAAGCTTAATTGTGAATGGAAGAAATGTTTAAGGCAAATTTTGGGTGTCTATCCTCCCACTCATCTCATATCAGGCCTGATGTCCACACCCACACTTGAATAAAAAGTTCACAAATGAATGATATCATTTTGTCTGAAGAGAATCACCCATCCAGCAAACTCAGTCAATTTTTTTTCAGTCACTCACTTGTCACTGGCCACTCCAATGTTTCCAGATATATAAATATAATTGTCAGGATATACACGTTAAGAATGAGTGTTATAAATAATTGTGTAGCATAAACCCATAATAAAACCCATAAACTGTATAGCAGGTATACAGGACAGAATAAAACAACTAGTCAGCAGAGATAGCTGAGAGACCCCAAACTGGATAATTAAACTTTTGACAGAACTACTGTCACAAAGAGTAGTTTGACCCCATTTTGAGTCTAAGGAAGTCAGATCTATATTGCATGAATTGTGTTGGGAGTGATTTTGATCTGGGGTAGCCCTAGAATTTGTTGATTGAATCCTGAGGGTGTGATTTTGTTTTGTGTAAGTCATCAAATAATTAGTTTATATTAATCCTTTAAATTGTGATCTCATCATCAGACATTCATATTATGCTGCTTTTATGACTTTTACTTAGATAAATAATTCACTGTAAACTTATGTAAACTAACCCAATAAAAATTTTCTATTTGTACATGTATATTTTATTTTGTTGAAGATGCTATATAATAAGGAACGATGATTACACCAGAAAATGTAATGAAATATGTATGTGTGAATAATTTATGAAAAGAATATACAGTAGTAAAAGGCGGATTAAAACTATGCCACAAGAAAGACTTACCCCCTTTTCCATTCGAACAACTGTTGAGTGGTTGGAGTTGAAGTGAAAATGTTGAGACCTCACTTGCTGGTCTCGGTAACGAACAACCATGTGCATGTTTTCACTGTCTGGCCAAAATGCCATACACTAAAGGAAGAAAACAAAAAATAATGAAATGCCAATCAAAGGATGTCCACTGACACAACATTTAATAATTATTAATTTATATTTTCTAATGAATAAAATTACATTAACATTTTCAACATGAGTTAAATTTTAAGTTCCACCCTCTTCCATTTTCATAAACAAATATTCAACCATAAATTCTTTATCTTAAATTTTCACCAAAAGTGTTTGGATGCTAATACTCTCACCAAAATACTTTATACACATTTTTACAAGAAGTTCAATGTTAGTCCTCCCTCTCCCTCCTTTCTCTGTTTTCCATACTTTCTTCATTGTCCTTTCCTCACCTTAGCTCACTCTTCATCTGCTCTTTCTCTCTCTCCCATTTTTATTTAAATGCTATGCATCCTCTGAATATATAGTAATAAAACCCATAATCATTTGCATATAAGCATCAATGGTAATCCACACTAATTAAATAATCATTGTATCTAAGAATGAATGGAGTCAAAGAATGTTGAATAAAGTGTTCATAATCACTTTCTCATGATGGATCTTCTCACATATTCAAATAAGTATATAAAGATTTTCTCTTACTTGTAGGGGATGGATGTCGTACCAGAGCTCCACTTTGTCGTTCTCTTGCATAAACTTGAGGGGTCTCGTGGTCAGGTTACATATTAAGAAGTATGGCATGAGGGTTACTATCTTTGTTAGATGAAGTTTGCCTCGGGTTGGTCCTGTAAGATAGGAGTTCATGATACAGAAGTAATAATTGGCTTAAATACATATTTTCAGTACTAAGATGCCTAGATGCTTAAGAAATTTTTTCAAATAAAATCCTTGTGTCCTTAAATAAATAAATAAATATATATATATATATATATATATATATATATATATATATATATATATATATATTCAGTACTACGATGCTTAGATGCTTAAGAAATGTGTTTCTGGGGCCTCCAGCCGGGCAACCAACCTGGTTCGTTGCAGTAAGGAGAATTGAGCATTCAATGCAGCCACTGCCTGATCCTTGAGATCAACAGACAAGGAAAGAGTAAGGTGAAGTACAAGTGGGGAACAAGGCTTGCAAGACTCCGGGTCAGTGGGGTCCCCGACCCAATAGGCAGTGTGACGGAGGGAGTATGGATGATCGTTTTCCTGAGGCAGGGGCAACGAACAACCTTCAACTTTGCACAAGAACGGGCTTGAAAGAAGTAGCTACTGTATGGCCAAGCCCACAGCAGCTTTCCAGGGCCTGTAGGGTGAATTAGCCCTATGGGAAGCCCAGGCACTGGGGCTAACTAAGCCGGTACAACCATGCCAGGTAGCAGGCAAACTTACCACCAGTAGCAGCCATGAAACCTTGGTGGAAACAGAGGACTACCAACACAACCTAGGCTTGCCTAATAAGCTAAGCAGACTCCCTCTGTCTAAACAAAGTGAGAATGCCAGTGAATGAAAAGAAAATGAAAACAAAACCCCCAAAGACACACAACAATCAAACTGGCAGTCAGAGAGAAAATCGGCTAATGTGTTGAAGAAAAGCTAGCTGTAGCCTTGCCCAGAAAGGCAATTATGACATACTTTAAATGTAAAGCGCTCATAGGTCATTGCTCCCTGCGCCTCTTTGAGAGGACCAAGTTCTGGCTCAAAGGCATAGGCATAAGGTAGGCATAAGAACTCCTGTGACTGATGACCCAAAACTAATATAGCACATATCAGTTCAGATATCTTCAGAGAGCCAACGAGACTCCCCACAGAAATATATATATTCAGTACTGAGATGCCTAGATGCTTAAGAAATTTGTTTAAATAAGATATGTCCTTGGATATGAATTGATGGTATCTTATGTCCTTGGATATGAATCACACAATCAGGCACAGCAAGACAGCCCAATGCTGCAGGTAATTTTCCAGCATTCCTAGAGTAATATTGTACTGAGGAAGTCACTAGTGATAAACAATCCATCCCGGAAGTGATTGTTGTTGTGGTTGTATGTCATGTGTAAATCCCACCCTTGCTATTTTGTTTACTTGCAGTATATATTTTGTGTTTATTTTTAATTATTTTTGTTTGTTTAATTATATTGTTTAATTATACTGTTTAATTTTATTGTTTAATTATACTGTTTAATTATATTGTTTAATTATACTGTTTAATTATATTGTTTAATTATACTGTTTAATTATATTGTTTAATTATACTGTTTAATTATATTATTTAATTATATTGTTTAATTATATTGTTTAATTATATTATATTAATTATAAATAGCAACCTTACATGCCCAGTACGTCCCTAGCAAGCCAACTCTGGAGAGCTACTAATTGAAATTGAAATTTAAGTCATTTTATTGAGAATAAATACACACAAAGTGATGAGGTAGCTCAAGCTATTCTCACCCCGTTCAGTACAACGTGTTCATATATATATAGACACACACATCGCAAACAATAAGCATATTATTGAATATTCTGAGTGATAAACATATACATTTTTAATATACAGTTTAACTTATTTTTAAATATTTAAATATTTGTTTAACAATTCTTAGAATACTGTATATCAATAAAATACCTGTCTGACCTATCATTAATAATCAATAAGCAATGATGGTTCTTTAGCACTAATACTGAATACATATGGCTAATACAAAATCTGCCTTTCCAAAATAACAGCAACGAAAACCAACCTTGAACGCCCTCAATTGGGGTTCGTGCTGTTAGGGTTGACTGTTTTACTTTAGCCAATATTCTGTACTTTCTGCCACGGACACCATCAGTACAAACAACAACACCACATGAGCCAACTGCTTCACAACTCCACCGACGAGACCAATCGCTTTCCATAACTCGAATCTAAATATAAAATTTTAGATTATTAATACAGTGTATAAAAACTGATGTAAGATACCGGGTAAGTCAAATTTTAATTCAAATTAGCTGTCTTGAAACAGTAATGGTTGGGATCAAGCAATTTCTAGATAAGTGAATTTTAGGTTAATAAATATTTATTTATTTATTTATTTAAGCATATACAAGAAGGTACATTGGGAATGTGAGGATACATAAAATGGTAATTACAGTCTTGTAAAGCCACTAGTACGTGCAGCATTTCGGGCAGGTCCTTAATCTAAGAAAATTTTAAGTAGGTAAATACTTGCAAAATTTATAAAAAAAAAATGATAACAGTTACATGGCAAGAAAAAAAAGATGAGAGAAAATTGCAGGTACAGTATACTAAAGCACAAAGGTAGCTAAGATTGAAAATACTTGTTAATACAGTACCTCATACCAGAGTGCCAGCAAAGCATGGTGTGATTTTCATTTATCCGTAAAACTATTTCATTATAAACATATTTTCTGTGGGGATCCCCTTTGGCTTCCTAGAGCTATCGGGCTAATGGTTGATATATTAGACCGGGGCATTAGTCTATGGGGTTCGATCTACCGGGGGACCACGAGCCAGAACCTGGCTCCCTCAGAGAGGTTTCAGGGAGCAATGGCCCTGGAAATCCCCAGTGTTGGGGTTTTTTCTTATCTTCCATCGACTGGGGTTAGGCACCCAGCAAGGTAGGCATAACAAAACAAACCCCACATGGTAAGAAAATTACAACTAAAAACCGAAACGATAGGTAGAACTCCCTCCAATACCAAGGAAACAAGCAAACAAGCGAACGTCACACTCCAATGCCGTGCCCCTCGTCGGCACAGCCCTCCCCTTCCCGAGAGAGGGGGGAGGGGGGAGGGGGAGCCCCAGACCTCCCCGCACCAGCTACCCATCACTCCAGTTCATTAGCTAAAGTGGTATGGGGGCAGATGTCTTCGCTGGCTTCGATTTCCAAGGCAGTGTTTTGCCTTCGTGGTGACCTCTGCAGTGTTGTGTGTGGTGGCTAGGTGTTCCTCATCAATGCCGGGACTGCATGTGCTTAGGGGCTTCCTTCCCTAGGCGCCCTATGAGTAATGCCCTGGCATGTTAGGGTTCCCTTCCCTGGTGCGTTCGGGAAACCATTTCCTTAGGGGTTATTGCTGCTCGGAATTACCCCACCCTTGGGGCCAGCTGGGGTTTCGTGGCCCTTGTTTGGCTTTGGGTAGGAGTGGTATCATGCTGGTTGGGGCATCAAGGTGTTGTGCAGCCTACCTACCTACGCGGTGGCCGGTTCCTGTTTCCTCTGGGTACGTACGTTTGCGGGGTTTTTCTTTTGTTTTTGTTTTTCTTGCCTGGTGGGGGTCTGCCTGGTGTGGCTAATGTTCCACTTATAATATTTTGGTGGCCCTCTGCTAGGACCCTGAGATTGAACACGTTACAGGGATTTCATCCTCCCTTTGTTAAATTTGGGTCTTAAATCGGTTAGCAACACCTTGCCCGGGCTTCCCATAGCAGTCAGCCTACGGGCCCTGGAAAACCCTGTCAAGGCTCGGTGGACCCATGGATGCGTCTTCCACATTCCAGCCCGCCTCGTGTGGGTTCGAAGGTAGTTATGTGGCCCTTGTCTCAGGGTGACAGTCGCCTCTTTTGTCTTCGTCATTCTGCCTGTTGGGTCAATGACACCTTTGACTCTGAGTCTTGTGATTTGTGTTCTTTGTTTGTTTTCCAGTACTATTCTGATGATATTACTGTTAGGATACATGCAGCATTCGCGTTGGTTTAGGTTGCTGCAACGCATTAGGTTGGTTTTCCACCTGGATGCCTCCCAGCTGCCCCACTTTGGTTATAGTGACCCGGACTTGGGGGCGTTAGTCACTTCGACTTTGGTTCAGTCCATGCTTCCTGGTCCTTCCCCTGTTGTTCATCCTGCACCTCCCCCACACCTTCCTGCTTCTGGCTCCCAAATGTCTGAGGAGTTTCGGAGTCAGAGCAGAGTTTAGTTGGTAACGAGACTTGGGCAACTTCGGGGCCTGCCCCATTTGTGTTGGGGACGGAGGCATTCGAGCCGATTCCTCCTGCCGAGGCTTCTGCGTCCCACTAGCAACCCCCCCTTCTTTTCAGCCTTTCCTCTGGACTCTGCTTTTCTTCAGGGGTATAGGGTATGGAGGACAGCTCTGCCTTGGGTTCCGACTTGGAGGATCCCGCGGCTGGGGAGGAGTTGACCTGGGGGCCTTGGATTCCCTTTGACCCTGCTTGGGTGTTCCCCCTCTTCGTGGGGCTTATTGTTGAAGGGGGATGGGTTTTTTTACCCCTCTTCCCTGTATAAGTATGATTTGGGGTCGGCTTCTTCCCAAATCGGTTCCGGGTTCCCTCTGGTTCCTCGACCCCGTCCTTCTGGAGGCTTTGGTCTTGTGCTTCTTTTCCCTTCATGAGCTGTCATCCTCCTCAACATCCTCCTTGAGGAGGATGTGGAGGCGTTGAGTGCTGGGATTTCGTCTGGTGTGCTGTCCTCGGTGGTTTGGGCGTCGGCTGCACTGCTGAAACTGTTTGTGCCTATCCTGAAGGAGGCGGTGTCTCTGTTCTTTGCTTCTCGCCTCAGGTGCTGTCAGGTTGTGCTTACTCTCTTATTGGAATCTGCTTGGGCCCTGGCCCTTAAGTTTTCGTCGATGTTTGTGGAATCTGCTGTCATGCAGTTTCTGCAGGCAACTTCCTCTAGTTGTCGTCCTCTGTTGGACTTGTTGGTTCTCCGAGTAGCCGTTCATGGCCTTCTCCGAAGGGTCGTGAAAGGGCTCGGGGTTCCTCAAATCGGGGTGGGCCACTAGTGCCACTTTCTGAGCTGGTGCTTCAGAAGCTGGGCGTCTCCTCTCCCTTTGGAGGGGTTCGAGGCTGGCAGGGCAGGCTTTTTCTCCTGCACTTCGTCAGGTCATCTTGGAAGAAGGTGCGCTTGGGTGTGGTCGAAACGACCCCATCCTTCAGGTGCATTTCCCGCCTGTCTCCAGTGCCGAAATGGGACTGTTTCAGATCAGAGATTCATTCTGGACTTGTCCCGTCTGAACACCTGGATTCCTTACCCCTACTTTCGAATGACCACTCTGTCTCAGGTCTGGCTTCTTTTGCAGCCGGGTGCCTGAGTGGTGTCCCTGGACCTCAAGGATGCTTATTGGCATGTTCCTATTCATTTGGGGTTCAGGGACAGGTTAGGTTTTGTGGTGGGGGCATCAGGCTTACCACTATTGTTGCCTTCCTTTTGGCTTGAACCTTTGGATCAAGGGGAGCCCAAGCCCCACAAGTCAACTCTTCCCCAGCCCCAAGAGCCTCCAAACCAGAACCTGGGGCAGAGCAGTCCTCCATACCCTCTACCCCCCCTGAAGAAAAGGCAGAGTCCAAGGGAAAGGCAGAAAAGAAGGGGGGTTGCTGGTGGAAAGCAGAAACCTCGGCAGGAGGAACTGACTCGAATGCCTCTGTCCTCAACCCGAATGGGGCAGGGCCCGAAGCTGCCAAAGTCTCGTTACCAACCAAACCCTGCCCTGACTCTGAAATCCTCAGATGTTTGGAAGCCCGGGAGCAGGGAGGGGGGAGAGGGAGAAGTAACAGAATGAACAACAGGGGAAGGACCAGGGAGCACGGACGTAACCAAAATCGAAGCGATTAATGCCCTAAAGTCTGGGTTCCCAAAACCAAAACCGGGCAGCCTTGGGGCATTCAGGTTGGCAACCAACCAAGTGTGTTGCAGCAACATAAACCTAGCATGCAACGCAGATGCTGCCTGTACCTGAATATCAATGTAATCAGAATGGGTAAATTGGAGAACAAGCAGAGAGCACGACTTGCAAGACTTGCGATCAAAGGTGCCGTCGACCTAACAGGCAGCATGACAGAGGCAAAAAACAGTGACTGTCACCCTGAGACAAGGACACACAGTAACCTTTAAATGCACATGCAGCAAGGAGGAACTCAGAAAACACATCCATCATTCTAATGAGCCCCATTGGGATTTTCAGGATTCACAGGCTGACTGCTACGGGAAGCCCAGGCAAGGTACTGCAAAACTGGCTAGGCGAAAACTAACAAGTTTGCGCCTAGCTGAACCCCTGCGATGTGTACAATCACTGGGGCCTAGAGCAGGGTCACCAAAACAACAGAAGTGGACCAATAACCAAACCAGGCAGATCCCCTTCAGGCAGGGAAACAAAATGAAAACAAAAAAAACTGCAAAAGGACAACGTCCCCTGAAGGAACAGAAACTGGCCATCGCATAGGCAGGCAAGCTGTGCAGTACCTTGCGCCCTTACCAGCAAATGATACCACTTCCTACCCAACGTCAAAGGCCATAAAAACCCCAGCTGGCCCCAAGGACGGGGTAAATGCAGAGCAGCAAAGACCCCCACGAAAACGGTTCCCAAATTTTTTATGGAAGGGAACCCTAGAAACGCATGCAGCCCCAGTACTCTCGAAGTTCTCCTTGCTACTGCGCCTCACACACAGCAGAAGACACCACTAAGGTACACAACTGCCTAGAATCAGAGGTCAGAGTTAATGTCGGCCCCAGATGACATCAGCCAATGAACTGGAGTTGTTGGGTAGCCAGCACGGGGGGTCCGGGGCTCCCCTCCCCTTCCCGTGTGGGGGGAGAGCTGCACGGACAAGCAGCAGCAGAGTGTGGTGTTTGCTTGTTTCTTTAAGTAGAGGGAGTTCTGCCTCTCTGTTTGGTCTTCAGTGTCAATTTTCTTACCATTTGGGGGTTTGTTTTGTTATGCCTACCTTTCTGGGTGCCAACCCCGGTTGATGGCAGACATGGAATATCTGCAAATACATGGGGGGGTTCCCATAGACCATTGTTCCCTTTGCCTCTCTGAGGGGCCCAGGTTCTGGCTCATGGTCCACAGAAAACTGAACTTCAATTGATTAATGCCCCAGACTAATATAACATATATATGCCTGATAGCTCCAGGGAGCCAAAGGGGCTCCCCTCAGAAATAATTAATATTATTGAATATTCAAGAATAACCTACTATAAAAGCCCTGAACATAATAGCTTCTCAAATGATTACTTCACACTGTTACAAAAATATGTTATTTATTTCAAATCAATTCATAATATTAAACAACAGATTACTCTTACCTTAAGTCTATATGGATAGTTTCTCTTGTACCGAAATAAAACTATATCCTCAGATCCATTCAGATCATATATAATTTTTGATCTTGATCCCTGAAATGCAGAAAAACAATTCTATTCATTGCATTAAAACTTCACAAGCACAAATTCCCAATTGGGAATTCTTACAATCTTACTATCTCCCTTGATAATATTCTATATAAAAAGCAGATGACCAAATACTTAATTATCTATTTATGTATCAAGTAAGTTATCAATATACATCTATCTATATATCTATCTATTTATATCAACCCATCCTCCTGTTTAGATAGTACTTTTTGTAACTGTGCACTATAATAAAAACATTGACTAACTAATCAATTAGATTGCAGAATTTTGTACTATTCACTTTATAGTCCGAAAAAAAAACAGCGTTGAATATAATGAAAAGCTACTTTCTTGGTGAGACATGGAGGCTCCCCAGAGCTTATCCAGGCTGATATGGAACTATTAGACTTTGGCATCAGTCAGTGTGAATGGAGTTCTTAGGACTACCGAGGACCCGAGCTGGAACCTGGCCCCCTCAGAGAGGCAAGAGGAGCAATGGCCTATAGAATTGCACATGTGATTTGGAGGATTCTATGTCTGCCATTGACCAGGTCAGGCACCCAGAAAGGTAAGCATCCCAAAACAAAACCCTATTCTAGTTTAAACTACTACTAAAAGTCAAACGAATGGACAGAACTTCCCAAAGAAAAATAAGCAAACAAGCATGATGTCACCACGCTGCCATGCTGCTGTCTACGCAGCTCCCCCACTGCCCAGGAGGGAAAAGGAGGAGCCCCAGACCCTCACGCCAGCTACTCACACCTTCAGTTTGAAGGCTGTATGTTAAAACACGTGAAACAAAAGCCAACCAGAGGGAGGGAGGAATGCCAGGAAGCCTCTGGGTCTCACCTAGAAAATGGCGTTTCTTTACATTCAACGCTGGTTTTCTGGGAGGAGGGGGCTCCCCGGGGCTATCTACCTAAAGACAAGAACAAAATAGGGATAAACCCGGGAGGCAGAAACCACATGCCCTAAACCCAAAAGCAAGACAACTGGCAACACCAAATGGCCCTGTGGATGACCCGGGACACCCGAACCCTGGAACAGGGATGAAGGGAACCCGGGTCAACCCAAAGCGTGTCCACGGCGACAGAGGTCGTGGCATGCAGGCAATGGCTAAGAGCCACAATTGGACACAAGAAGATGCAGCCCCAGCCAAACCAACCAAGCATCAACAACCCAAGAACCCTTCCGGAAAACAGCCGTCCTAACCTCGCCAGAAAAGAGAAACCTACAAGCCTATCTCCAAAACCCAAAAGAAGCAGAAACCTTTGAGAAACAATCCTGAACCGAAGGGGCCACTACAAACCAAGGGGGAAGAGAGGTAAGAGAGCACCTTGTACAAGACCAGGACGGTTCAGGAGGTGCATGAGCAGGCTGAAGAAAGAACCGAAAGCAAGCCGTAGTGGCTCCGCCAGCGCCACAAGATACGAGGCGACAGTATATGGCATAAGACCTAGCTCACTTGGTCTCCAAGTGAGCTAGGACCTGGAGTAACAGCGGAACCGGGGAAAAGGTACAGGTAACCTCACCTCAACCAGACCTGCCTAAAAGTATTGACTCCGATGGCCTCTCAGTTGGGGAAGGGCAGCGCTGACTCAGAAACTGGCACCAGCGGCCTACCATGACGAGAGGAACCCCAAGCCCAGGCACGACCCTTCCAGGAGGAAACCCCCCCCCACCCTGGGACCCCCGAAGGACCAACAAGTCCGACATCGGATGACAATTAGAAGAGACTGTTTGCAGAAACTGCCCATCCACAGACTCCGCAAACAGCAAGGGACAATATCGCGACGAAAACTGTAGATATAGATAGGGGGCAACAAACCAAAGGCAGACCCCCCACCAGTCAGGAAAACAAAAGAAAAACCCGTGCAAGAGGACAATGTACCCAGGCGGAACAAAGCCAGCCGCTATAATAGGTGATAACTACCTTTGCAGTACCCAAGCACTTCTACCAGTGCAAACTACCCCTTGCCCTAAGGTAAACAAGGGAGGAGGAAACCCCCAGCACACTCAGGGCGGTCAATCACCGAACAGCAAAAGACCAACAGAGGTAGACTCTCAAGGTGAATTGTGGAAGATAACCCCCAAGCCCCAAGGGCAGTACTTACAGGGCAGTTAGGGAAGGGAACCCTAAGAGCATGCAGCCCAAGTACCAGTGAAGATTACTTCCAGCTCATGCACCACCCTGAAGACAGCATTAGACACAAGGCACAGCACTGAACACATATCAGGAGCTGGAGTCACATGACCAAGCCTCAAACACATCAGCCGAGAACTGAAGGTGTGGTGTAGCTGGCATGAGGGGTCGAGGGCTCTCCCCTTCCCCTCTTGGGGAGGGGGGGAGCTGTGCAGACAGCAGCACGGCAACATGGTGATGTCCTGCTTATTTGAAATGTTTTTCTTTGGGAATTTCTGTCCACTCATTTGACTTTTAGTAGTAGTTTCAACCAGAATAGGGGTTTGTTTTGGGATGCTTACCTTTCTGGATGCCTGACCTGGTCAATGGCAGACACAGAATGCTCCAAATCACATGTGCAATTCTATAGGCCATAGCTCCTCATGACTTTCTGAAGGGGCCAGGTTCTGGCTTGTGGTCCCTGGTAGGCCTAAGAACTCCATTCACACTGACTGATACCAAAGTCTAATACAGTAGTTTCATATCAGCTTGGATAAGGGGGGAGCCGAAGGGGCTACCCCCAGAAAATTAAGCTAAAAAACAAACTCAAATATTCCTAGGCCTAGTATTGCACACATACGTACTATATTAAGCCTAGGAAAGTTTGGATAGTTTAGTTTGTCTTTGCAACATAAGTAGAAAATTGTTTTCTGGTTTGTCCAAATTCAATAGTACTGATTCTACTTTCTACATACAATAGATAAATCAGGCAATGAATGAAATGAAAGTCCCTATTCCAGTTGGCCCTCAGTGGCTTCTCAAGCTGTATCTGTGGTACCACCACGCCTTAGTCCATCATAGCAGGCATCTGAAACCCATCTATCAGGACCAGAATCTGACTCACTCTACTATGTGAAGGCCGCAGATGACTACAGATCAAATACAAAACTATGGGGGAAAATCAATCAAGAGCAAAGGTTTGGTGGCACAAAAGACTAAGCTCAGAGAGCCACTGAAGCGTTCATCCCAGAAATATCTGTAAGACTGTACTTACTCGAATGTGTAGTGGAAGTCCAGTCTTGTTAACGATCCAGTAAGGAGCATATACATAAATAGAAGTTGATCCATCTCTGACAGTGTACAGAGCCAAATCAAGTTTCCTACGAGCATTGCCATCCCCATGACATAGTGAAACTGTTCGATGGTCATCTCCTTTTTCTGCTCCTATTTCTAAAGTACCATTCCAATCACTGCCTAAATAATTACACACCTGAAATAAGATTAACATTGTCTAAACAAAAAGCGACTCTAAATAAGCCCATGAAAGTTATTTTGAGTGATCATGATAATTCACAGAAAAAATGAATATATTGTATATTATCATGTAATAAAGTTGAGGATTTTTTTTTTTATTTATTTATATATACAAGAGTTCTTACATTCTTGTACAGCCACTAGTAGGCGTAACATTTCGGGCAAATCCTTAATCCTATGTTCCCTGGAATATGACCCCGCAAAAAATCGTTTAACAACCAAGAACTGTACCCATTTTACTGTTGAGTTAAACAGAGGCTACAGTTAAGGATTTGCGCCCAGTAAATCCTTCCGGGCCAGGATACGAACCCAGGACAAAGCGCTCGCGAAATGCCAGATGAGCGTCTTAATCACTACACCATGGCGACTGCTAAAATAGATTTGATTGCTATATAATTAATGTAAGATATTTGCAGAGAATTTTGGAGTTTATACAGCAGAATATAATTTTATGATTACCATAAATTAGTTACAGTATGATTAATTAGAAAATTAATTATAGATTTACATACAAAAATTTAGAGTAAACTTAATATTTAATACTGTAGTAGGAAATGTAATCTAATACAGTATTTAAAATCTTACACACAAAAGCTGATATGGTGCTTCCTTTCTCCCCTCCTTCCCTTCTCACTTGTTTGGGGGAGGAGGGAGGTCAGCCAGTAGTGGTCTGTTTTGTTCGTTGACTTTCTTAGTGCTTCTTGGGTGATGACGGACATGATTAAATGTGACAATTTGATCATAGTGCCACACAGGGATCACAGGCCAGGTTCTGGCTCGTGGTGCCCATTAAGCCGAAAAGAATTCCACGATTGATGGGACCTAGTAGTTTAGAACTATATCAGCATAGTAGCTTCAGCGAGACACATGGGGCTCCCCCCCCCCCAGAAAAGTGAAATGCTATCATAGGATGAACAACCACATAGAAAATTAATAAATATTTAAATTTAGTAACTCACCTGGACCTCTAAGAAGACCTTTTCCTGCAAATTGACTTTATATAGAGTGGTCAGAGCACCAGGATCCAGAGTGAGAGGTTGAGCAATAACTGGATGTGTAATAACCAGGGTGCATGGTAGATGATTGTGAATAGTTAGCGGTGGTGTCAAACGAAGTGTATAATTAGGGAGAACTCCACTCAAACCTTCCCACTGAAGACTACTTAATTTGATGCCTTCCAGCATTGTCACCTGAAAAGAAAAATAATCAGCAATGATTCTGATGACGGAGATAATAACATCATTATCAGTTGCATTTGTATGAGTACCTGAAGAAACTGCTTTACTATTTAAGAATATTTCCAGATTTATTAGTTTAAGTGCAAATAACTATTACTAACTTCAAGAATATGGCCTATGGAATTAACAGGATTATCATATTTATACTGACTAACCTACCAATGAAAGCAGTACCATTCCTACAATCCTACCACTAACCAACAATCACCCAAATACTAAAGGCACCACAAGCTTCAGAGCTGTTTTCCCTTAAATTATGAAATTCCATTCTTGGTGTGAATCTCAGTAGCTCATCAAAGCTAAGCTCAGCACAAGCCATGCCTTAAGGAAAAGTTCCAGGTCTCTGGGACTCATTCTTACTTAACGGGAGCCACAACCAGAATCTGGTTTCCTCGATAAAGTGTGGGAAGCTAGGAGACAAAGATCCACAGTACAGATAAAGCCCAGCCCAAACTCGGATGAGGACGAAAGGTTCAGTCAGGGTTACAAACTTAGAGGGCCAGGTGATAAAATTTTCAGATTGAAAAAAGTCAAGGGTCATGTCAGCTGAGTGGACAGCACTTCGGATTTGTAGTCCTGAGGTTTCGGGTTCAATCCCCCGATGGAGGCGGAAACAAATGGGCAGTTTCTTTCACCCTGATGTCTCTGTTACCTAGCAGTAAATAGGTACCTGGGAGTTAGAAAGCTGCTATGGGGTGCTTCCTGGGGGTGTGTGTAACGAAAAGGAGGCCTGGTCAAGCACCAGGCTGCGGGGACACTAAACTTCGAAATCATCTCAAGATAACCTCAAGATAACCCTAGAACCCTTATTGCCTTTTCTACCATAGAATGAATAAGGACTTGTGACAAAGCCTACAATACCAGAAAGTCCAGGGACTACAATATGAAGAAACAAGTATCTCCTGGGAAGCCCTTGAAACCCGGAAAGATTCAATGCCCAACAACATACACCTGGCAATGAAAAAGACAGCAAGAGCCCAAGTAAGCCAAGGGTGCAACTGCACTCAGGATGGGATAAGGAACCCATCATGCATGTCCCAAGGGAACAAAGGGACAAAGGGAAAATAGACTCTGTAGTGTCTATCAACATCCCCATAGAGGGCGTGGCCCTTAACCCTTAAACTGCGCAACACATCAGTAGCTGTGGTGAGTGACTGTCGCGGAATTGCACACCACAGCTATTGATGTGTTGGAGTACCGTGCAAGATTTACCACTTTCGCACCCTGGGCACGCGCGCCGCCAACTTACAGGTCACGCCCTCGGCGAACGGGCAATCATGCGGGCGACACTGAAATGTGTATACTCGTTTCTGTTTTCTCACCTTAATTCTCATGCTACGTCATTCGGTTTGGTATAATAGTGTTCACAATAGAATTCCCTACAGGTGTATATGCATATAATGTCCAAAAGCCCGATGTGACCCCCCACAGCAAAGCCTAAAGTCGGCAAAAGTTACCAGTAAGCACACAAAATCCGTAAAATGTGTATACTCGTTTCAACTTTCACATCTTAATTCTTGTGCTACGTCGATCGTTTTGGTATCATTGTGTTCGCAGTTAAATTCCCTGCAGGTGTATATGCATATAATGTCCAAAAGTCCAGCATGACTCCCTGCAGCAAAGCCTAAAGTTAACCATGAACGAGCACCAATTTGCACACAGCAGCCTAATGTGTACTCGTTCAGTTTGATAACATCAATTTTCGTGTTACGTCTTTCATTTTGGTATCAAATTGTTCATAATATAAAGGCATGTATTTAAAACTATTCCCATAATAATAGAGCAATAACTGTAATTTTAACAAATATTTTAATTTTGGACGCTCATCATCGCAAAATTATTTATATCTTTCCAGTGTTCTGACATAAATGTTTGTGTTACATCTTTCATTTTGGTATCAAATTGTTTGCAATCTAAAGGTGCACATTTGAAAACTAGTCCCATAATAATAGCACAATAAATAGAATTTTAACAAAGGTTTTTAAATTTTGACAAAAAAACGTATTTTTAATCTTTCAAGTGTTTTGACATCAAGTTTCATGTTACATCTTTCATTTTGGTATCAAATTGTGCGCACTCTAAAGGCGCTCATTTTTAATCTATCCCAAAGTCGATCGGATAATGAATGAATTTTATACAAATATTTTTTTATCGGACGCAAGCTCAGTCCGATGCTCGGACTCAAGAGAAAAAAATCGGACGCAAGTTATGTTTGAAGAGTGCTATAGTGTTACAAGTCCCGCGGCTACATGGGGTTTACATCAGCTTCCGCAGGGCTCTTGTAAGCAAATGCCTCTTTTTTTTTAAATCATGGGCAACATTCCGAGGTGTGAAAGCCTTAGTACTAAGTGAGCAAGCAAGGCTGGCACACACAGCATGAGCTAACAGCACTGCTGTTCAGCTTGTGACCACAGCATTGCTTAAAAAATGTAAAAATATATGTATATGTAACTGATATTATTTAGCAATGCTAGTATTACAGAAGACCCCTATGATAAAAATGACCAGGATTCTGATAATAGCAGGACTGTTGTGATAATTTGCACTGTGAGTAGTATGGTGGGAACAGTAATGCTGAGGGAGGGAGGAAGGAAGAGAGGGAGGTAGCTTGGTCTGCTGACTCTGTGTGGCCACCTGTTATTGTCCAGAATCACCATATCAGCTTAGTGGTTCGCTATGGTGAACACAAATGTAGATACTTACACAAGTATATAACATGAGTATATAGTGTAATAACAGCACAAACAATATGGTGGGAGGAGCAGTTCTCCATACCCTCTACCCCTGAAGAAAAGGCAGAGTCCAGGGGAAAGGCAGAAAAGAAGGGGGGCTTGCTGGTGGGACCCAGAAGACTCGGCAGGAGGAACCGGGTCGAATGTCTCCGTCCCCATCCTGAACGGGGCAGCCCCCTGAAGCTGCCGAGTCTCATTACCAACTAAACCCTGCTTCAACTCTGAAACCCTCAGATGTTTGGGACCCGGAAGCAGGGGGGCAAATGGGGAAGGAGCAGGGTGAACAACAGGAGAAGAACCAGGAAGCATGGACTGAACCAAAGTTGCAGCGACTAACAACCCCAAGTCCGGGTCCCTATAACCAAAATGGGGCAGCCTTGAGGCATCTGGGTGGGCGACCAACCTAGTGCGTTGCAGCAATCTAAACCTAGCATGCAACGAGGATGCTACCTGTACCCGAATATCAATGTTATCAGAATGGGTAAACTGAAGAACATGCAGAGAACACGACTCGCAAGACTCTGGGTCAAAGGTGTCGTTGATAGAACAGGCAGCATGATGAATACAAAAGTGGTGACTGTGACCCTGAGATAAGGGCACAAAGCAACCCTCAAACTCGCACGAGGCAAGCTGGAACTCGGAAGATGCATCCAGAGGTCCACCGAGACCCAACAGGGTTTTCAAGGGCCCAGCCTGGGAAAGCTGTTGCTAACTGGTTGAGACCCAAAGCTAACAAGAGGGGAGATCAAACACTGAAACCCCTGTGACGTGTTCAAACTTGAGGGGGGGGGCCTTAGGGAGGGCTACCAAATTATTATAAGTGGTCCAATAGCCACACCAGGCAGACCCCCAACAGGCAAAGCAAACAAAAAGAAAATAAAAACCCTGCAAAAGTACATCACCAGAGGAAACAGGAACCGGCCGCTGCATAGGTAGGCTGGCTGCGCTATACCTTGATGCCCCAACCAGCAACAATACCACTCCCTACCCAAGGCCAAACAAGGGCCACGAAATCCCAGCTGGCCCCAAGAGCAGCGTAGATGCCGATCAGCTAGAACCCCTATGGAAATGGCGTCCAGAATGCTCTGAGGAAGAGAACCCTAACATGCAAGGGTAATACTCACAGGGCACTTAGGGAAGGCTGCCCTAAGTACATGCAGCCCCGGTACACTTTAGGTACACCTGACCACCACACCATGAACAGCAGAAGTAATCACTAAGGCAAAACACTCCATAGGAAATTGAGGTCAGAGATGATGACCACCCTGGAATGCATTAGCCAACAAACTGGAAAGGCTGGGTCGCCGGCAAGGGAAGACAAGCGGCTTGGCGGTGAGGTGTGACGTTTGCTTGTTTCCTTGGGATTGGAGGGAGTTCTGCTTCTCTGTTCGGTTTTCAGCTGCAATTTTCTTACCATGTGGGGATCTGTTTTGTTATGCCTACCTTTCTGGCTGCCTAACCCCGGTTGATGGTAAATAAGGAAAACCCCCAACCACAGGGGGGGGGGGGGCACGTTTTCAAGGGCTATTACTCCCTGTGCCTCTCTGGGGGAGCCAGGTTCTGGCTCATGATCCCCGGTATGCTGAACTCCTATAACTAATGCCCTGGTCTAATGAATTGCATATTAGCCTGATAGCTCCATGAAGCCAAAGGGGCTCCTCTCAGAAATATATATTCAAATATAATAGCCTCTAAATTTTTATCACAAAAGATATATTGGGTACATACTGCTGCAGCAACATCTGGATCATGCTCTGACTTGGGCTTGCTGGTGAGGAGGTATGAGCATGTAGATGAAAGGACATCCTTCCACCACACTCCTAATTCGCTAATACCATAACTGAAACAAAACAAATCTATACATAAGGACTAATAAATTATTATTAAAGCTAACATAATTTTTGTTATCTTATACTTAAGAATGAGGTTTGGAGAAGATTGCCTTCAAATATCACAATCTTTTTTAGACTGCTCAAACTTTTTACCTGCAGAATCTTCCTATTACTAACACTGAATCCTTCTATTGTTAACATGGAGTCTTCCTATTACTAATACTGAATCCTTCTATTGCCAACATGGAGTCTTCCTATTACTAACACTGAATCCTTCTATTGCCAACATGGAGTCTTCCTATTACTAACACTGAATCCTTCTATTGCCAACATGGAGTCTTCCTATTACTAACACTGAATCCATCTTCTGCCAACATGGAGTCTTCCTATTACTAACACTGAATCCTTCTACTGACAACATGTCTTCCAATTACTAACACTTCCTGATACTTAAATCAATATATATACTTTATTATCTTTGCCAAAGATTCCTGAAAAATCCATTATGACCACTTGCACTTTCCTACTTCTATATACAGTACAGTGGAACCTCAGTTTTCAAATGCTCCTCTTTTCAAATGTTTTTCGGTTCTTGAGCTCAATTTCTTCAAAAAATTTTATTCGGTATTTGAGGTCTGCCTTGGTGCTCGAGTTTGTTGATAAACGTATGTGCCGACCGAGCACGTGGTGTGCTTCAGTATACAGTACTAGTGTCTCCCGCTTAGTGACAACCACGCTTGAATTCTTTGTGAAAACTTTCATTGTGTTAGTGCTTTTTTGGTTTCTGAATATAGTTCATATTATATTATGCCAAGTGTTCCAAGAAAGTCAGTGGTAAAGTTCAACCTAAGAAACTAGCTGTAAGGATGATAATAGAGGAAAAACAAGATATCATTCATAGTGAAACAATGTGATGTCTCACTACAGACAAGTGTTAAAACGTAGGGGAAAACAACAAGTGTCTATAGACAGATTCTTAGTTAGACAAGCAAGCAGTGAGCCACAACCAGGTCCTAGTGGTATGCCTGAAAATGTAAGAGAGAAAGTACCCTAGGAATGTCATCACTGCTGTTATAATGAAAGGGGACTTCCCTTTCAAACACTAACACCTCTCCTCCTTCCCCCTTCCTTACTGTCTTTCATATGCCAACAAGAGTCCTCAATAAATGTAAGGTACATAAGATTATTATTATGTATAAAATGTATTTTTAAGTTAATATTTTTGGGATGTGTAGAACGAATTAATTCAATTTATATTATTTCTTATGGAAAAATTCGTTTCGGTATTAAAATTTTTGGTTTTTGAACCGTCTCTGGGAACGAATTAAATTCGAAAACGAAGGTACCACTGTACCACACTTCACTAGTGTACAGTTATCGATGCTGTACATCTGTTGGGAAGTTTAATGTCTCTTTAGCAAGCTTAACATCTTCCTAGAGAGTATACCATCTCTCTAGAAAATTTAACATATATTTAGAAAGCTTAACATCTCTCAACAAATTTCCATTTTTCTATTGGACACATTTTCTGTGCAAACTGACTTGAAAAGAAATGTTATTATAGCTAACTTCCATTTGACTGAGTGTTGAAGCACAGTAAAAATAACTATGTGTTAAGCTCTTTGTCTGACCACATAGCCATATGCACTGCCCATACTTACTCTACAGCAGCAGGCTGGATATGTAGAGGGGAGTGATAAGCAACAGTAAGTGGTACTGTGAAAATTTGGTCTGGCTGAAGAGTGACCATGGGTATATGGGCCTCAAAGGGGTTAACAGGGGACACCACTCTTGCATGCATCTCTCCCAGAGATGAACTGAGCATCTCTATTATACTCTTCTTAAAGCAAATGTTGAGAGGTAGAGGCATGTCATTCAGGACCTATATGGAAGAGAGATTTAGCAAGGTATTAATGGAAAATAATAAACCAGTTTTATTTGCCTTCACAAAAGCTACCTTTAAAAGATCAATTCAGCTCTGGCTACAAAAAATTCACTCACTCAAAGCCTTTCCAAGCTTTACTTAGCATTATGAAGGACAACGATGAAGCACTCTAACAAGCTGCCAGTTTGTTTGCCTGTCTACTATCCCCCCATTTTCCTACCACTAGATAGCAGTACCCTCACAAAGACTGCATCAAAGAGGATATCAAGCAATAAGGAAGAAAAGAATAAACGAGGGGAAAAGTAGGAATAGTCCTACTGATACAACAACACTGGATCTTTGAGGAAATATAGATTCCTGATGTAACCTACCTGCTGGTCTACATATACGGCATTGCGTTAGACCATGAAGTTGGTGGTAGGGGTTATTCACACCACCACTAAATACAAGATGGCCAAGGGAGAACTATATATGCAATTAAGGCATGCCTGAAAATGATTTAAAAGACAGCCATAGTGGCAATGGGAGCAAGGGCTATGATCCTAGTACTCAGGAATTTTAATTACAGGGAAATAAACTGGGCAACAAAGGATCCTTATGGAGGTGATGAAACATGAGAAGTAAGCTTAGTGGACTCATCAGATAAACAATTCCTATTTCTCCTATTTCTCTTTCTCATGTCAGACCTGATCTGACATGAGAAAGAGAAGGGGATGCAGCAAGTACTCTAGACTTATTATGACCCAAAATAAGAAATTTGTACCTTGACTGTATTTGGATGGGGTTCTGAAAGTTCTTCTCCTCAAGCCTGTCCCGGGACCAGGCTTGACTTGTAAAGTGCTTAAAATATGACATCTCACTAGAAACCAGTAATAAAGGGGAAAATGAATTGGAAAGAAAGTCAGTAAATGTGATGATGGAATTCATGGCACAGGAATCCACAGAAGCAACATTCAGTTCATCCGTCTCAGATGGGATGCAGATGAGAATAGAAAAAAAAACTCATGGGTCAATAGCGTAAGGCCAAAAAGACAAAAAGACTAAGAAAAATCATAGGATTTGGATACAGGCACAAACAGGGTGGCATGAGTACAAGAGAGTTACAAGGGCAGTGGAACAGAACTTTGAAAATTATATACTGTACACTGCTTTTTCTGTGGGGAGCCCCTACGGCTCCCTGGAGCTTATTGGGCTAATGTATGTTATGTTAGACCGGGACATTAGCTATGGAGTTCAGACCTACCAGGGACCAGCGCCAGAACCTGGCCCCTTCAGAGAGGTTTCAGGAAGCAGTGGCCCTGGAAAACCCCATTATGGTTGGGGTTTTTCCTTATCTGCCATCGACCGGGATCAGGCACCCAGAAATGTAGGCATAACAAAATAAACCCCACATGGTAAAAAACTACAACAAAAACCGAACAGAGAGGTAGAAACTCCCTACAATCCCAAGGAAACAATCAAATAATCAATTTACTGCTGCAAAGGTTGTCCGCGCAGCCCTCCCCTTCCCGGGAGGGGGAGGGGGCCCCGGACCTCACCACGCCAGCTACCTTCAGTTCGTAAGCTAGTGTCAACCAGGATAGATGCTTCTCTGGCCTCAAATTCCTAGGCGGTGTTTGCCTCGTGTGGTGTTCTCGCCTGTCTTTGTGTGGTTTGCGGTGGCCAGGAGTACCTAAGCGGTGTTTGCCTCGTGTGGCGTTCTCTCCTGCCTTTGTGTGGTTTGCGGTGGCCAGGAGTACCTCATCAGTGCCGGGGCTGCATGCGTTTAGGGGCTTCCTCCCTAGGCATCCTGTGAGTACTGCCCCTGCGTGTCAGGGTTTTCTTCCCTGGGGTGTTCGGGAACCGCTCCCGTAGGGGTTCTTGCTGCTCGGCATTTGCATCGCCCTTGGGGCCAGCTGGGGCTTGGGGCCCTTGTTTGGCCTTGGGTAGGGAGTGGTGTTGTGCTGGTTAGGGCGTCAAGGTGTTGCGCGGCCTGCCACCTAAGCGGTGACCGGTTCCTGTTGCCTCTGGAGACGGTGTACTTTTGCAGGGTTTTTCTTTTGTTTTGTTTTTGTTTGCCTGGTGGAGGTTTTGCCTCGTGGGTCTATAGTTCCCCTGATATTGTTTTGGTGGCCCTCTGCTAGGCCCCCATGCTTGTACACGTCCCAGGAGTTTTCAGTGTTATCATCTACCCTTGTTTGTTTGGGTTTCTTAACCGGTTAGCAACATCTTGCCCGGGCTTCCCATAGTTGTTACCCTACAGGCCCTGGAAACCCCTGTCGGGGCTAGGGGACCTATGGATGCGTCTCCCGAGTTCCAGCCTGCCTTGTGCGGGTTTGAAGGTTGCAGTGTGCCCTTGTCTCAGGGTGACAGTCACCTGTTTTGCCTCGGTCATGCTGCCTGTTGAGTCAACGACACCTTTGACCAGGAGTCTTGCGAGTCATATTCTCTGCTTGTGCTCCAGTTTTACTCTGAGGATGTTCCTGTTAGGGTACAGGCAGCTTCAGCGTTGCATGTTAGGTTAAGGTTATTGCAACACGCTAGGTTGGTTTCCCACCCGGATGCCCCGAGGCTGCCCCGTTTTAGTTTTAGGGACCCTGACCTGGGGGCGTTAGTCACTTTGACTTTGGCTCCTGCCGTGCCCCCTGGTCCTTCCCCTGTGGTTCTTCCTGCACCTCTCCCCCTGTGTCCGGCTCCAAAACGTCTGAGGGTTTCGACCTCGGCACAGGGTTTAGTTGGTAAAGAGACTCGGGCTGCCTCGGGGGCCGCCCCAACCGGGTCGGGGATGGAGGCATTTGAGCCGGTTCCTCCTGCCGAGGCTTCTGGGTCCCACCAGCAGACCCCCTTCTTGTCTGCCTTTTCTTCAGGGGTAGAGGGTTTGGAGGACGGCTCTGCCCTGGGTCCCGACGTGGGAGATCCTGGGACTGGGGAGGAGTCAACCTGGGGCCTTGGGCCCCCTTTGACCCCACTTGGGTGCTTTTGCCTTCCTCGTGGGGCTTATTGTTGCAGGGGGGAGGGATTTTCTTACCCCCCTTCCCTGTATGAGTATGATTTGGGTTCGGCTCCTCCCCGGGTTCAGTTCCGGGCGCCTTTGGGTACCTCGGATCCATCTTTCCAGAGGTTTTCTATTTCCCGTATCTCGGTGAAGGTGGTTCGGGAAGCTCTTACTGCTTACCTCTTGCGAGACCCGGGTTATGCCTCTGCAATGGATCCGTCCTCGGTGGAGTTCGGTTCTTCTTCCCATTTTTGGGTGTGTTTGGAGGTTCCGGAGTCTTCCTGGCTGGCAGACTGCCCTTTTTTTCGTTGGGGGCGTGACATGGGTTCTGTTGGATCCGCACGCTTGATTGGCGGGAAACTTCTACTTTTATGCAGGTTTACAGGGGGGGGGGGCGAGTTTGAGCACCTTAATGCGTGCTTGTTCGCTCCCGTGCTTTCTCGGGATGTTGGCCTTTTCCAGCTTCATGTGCAGGTTCCTCAGCTTTCGGCTTCATTGGTTGCGGAGGAGTTGCGCGCCCGTGGGCATTTGGCTTCGGTCTTGTGTTTATTTTCCCTTCTCGAGCTCTCTTCTGCTTGGCTTGAGGAGGATGTGGGAACGTTGAGTGAAGGGCTTTCGTCCGGGGCACTGACTTCGGCAGCTAGGGCGTCAGCTGCACTGTTTAAGCACTTTGCGCCCATCCTGAAGGAAGCGGTGTCTCTGTTTTTTGCTTCTAGCCTAGCGTGCCATCAGGCTGTGCTTGCCCTCTCTTTGGAATCTGCTTGGGCCCTGGCTCTTAGGTTTTTGTCTCCGTTTTGTCTGTTGCTGTTTGCAGAGACTGCGGTCTCTCAGTTTCTGCACGCGGCTTCGTCCAGTTGTAGTCCTATGGTGGACTTGTTGATTCTCCGAAGCAGTCGTTCTCGGCAGTTTCGGAGGGGTTGTGCCAAGGTTCCGGGTTCCGCTGGTCGAGGTGGGCCATTGGTGTCAGTTTCTGACCCGTTGTTCCCTTCGGGGCCAGGGTTGTCTGGTCGGCGAGGTGATCGCCCTGTTCGACATTTGGGTTCTCGTAAGGGGTGTCGGCCCTTTTGCGGTTTGCCCCATTGACAGAGCAATGGGAGGGGGGGGGGGAGGCTCGCTCTGTTTGCTCACGCTTGGTCCCACGATTTGTGGGTCGTGTCATCTGGCCTGCGGTGGCATTAGCGACTCGTCCTCCTTTTGGGGGTTCGGGGCTAACAGGGCAGGTTTCTTCTCCTGCGCTTCGTCAAGTCGTCTTGGAGTGGGTGCGCTTGGACGTGGTCGAAACGACTACGTCCCTCAGGTGGGTTTCCCGTCTGTTTCCAGTGCCGAAATGAGACTGTGCGGATCTGAGGTTCATTTTGGACTTTTCCCGTCTGAACCCCTGGATTCCTTGCCCCTCCTTTCGGATGACTACTCTGTCTCAGGTCCGGCTTGTGTTGGAGCCGGGTGCCTGGATGGTGTCCCTGGACCTCAATGACACCTATTGGCACGTTCCTATTCATCGGGGTTCAGGGACTGGTTAGGTTTCGTGGTGGGGCATCACTCTTACTGTTTTCGATGCCTACCTTTTAGCTTGAATCTGGCACCTCGCGTTTTCACGAGTCTGACCTGGGTTGTGGTGACCCGTCTTCGTCTTCTAGGGATTCGGGTTTTGGCCTACCTCGACGACTGGCTGGTGTGGGCTCCCAGTCGGTCAGCTTGTCTGCTCGCCAGGGATATGGTTCCTTCCCAGCTCACCAGGTTTGGGTTCCTGGTGAACTGGAGGAAGTCCCATTTGGTTCCTTCCCAGGTTCGGACCTGGCTGGGTCTTGTTTGGGATTCTCGGACCGCTTCCTTGTCTTTCCCTCCAGAGGCGTTGTTGCGGCTGCGGGACCACTGCCGGCTGTTTCTGAGGGGGTCCCGGGTCACTCTGCGGTTGCTCGAGTGGTTGTGCGGGAGTCTGAACTTCGCCATGCTAGTCTACCCACCTAGTTGGGTTTGGCTTCGGCGTCTGTTTTGATTCCTTCGGGGACGTCCCATCTGCCTC